AAACTCTACAGAAAACTCTGCAGGTCTTTCCCCCAAAACCAAGAACCTGCAGTGTTAAAACACAAATAGCACAGCCAGTGAACACCACCTTTGGAATCCTTCTGTAATAGAAGTGTTTGTGGAGGAGGTGGGAAAGGGATCAATTAATTGCTAGAGATTGCCTTGGTTTTCAAAGGGAGGTGAGGAAAGCAGAGGTTTGGCTGCTGGATTGTCACTGTGGCATTTTGGGATGGTTTCTTGTGCAGATGCCGACTAAAGAGGCAGGTGAGGTGTTGCACCCCCTTCTTAATAGGCTTGGATGGCTTTTATTCCACTTGCAGCAGAAAATTAAGGATTAGAGGGAAGCAAAGCCCTGGGACAGACAGCTCTGCCCCCTTGGAGGACAGTCAGGAGGTGACGTCCCTTCCAGCAACAGCTTTGGTGGCTTCTCAAGAAATTCCACAGAGCTTTTTCTTCTTGACTCCAGACCCCTAAGTTATTTCCTTACAATTCTCAACCCCAAATTCCCTTCCCCAGGTTAATCCTTGAGGGTGGAGCCCTGCATATCACCAGATACCTGCATTTGTGTCTGTGTTTGCTCTCGGCCCCATGGTTTAGGGGAAAACCAGCAGCTTTTGTTCCTTATCTCCTCTGCTTTTCTGCCTCCCCCACGTCTCTGTATCATGTTTGAGTTATGGTGATTAAATAAACTGTATGCCCCAAGAATTCCAACTCAGGTTTCCATGGCTTTTCCAGCCTTTGCTGCTCATGATTTAATTTCTCAGACCCCTTTCCCACACAGTCTGGGCAGACAGGAAAGCCACAGAGGGCAGGACAGGAAAACTGCAGACCCAGGAATTGCACTCATGATGTTGGCTGTCTTTCCTTCACCTCCCCTTGTGATTCAGTGAGGCTGGATTTGGATGCAGCCATGGATCTGAGGGGACAATTGCAACGAAGGAGCCAAAAGATACCACCTCTGAAGCTTCAGCATGTGAACTGGTAAAACCAAGGGCTCACTTCAGAAAACACTGAGCCCAAAGTGCCACCTCTGCAGCTGGAACAAGGATTCAACAACCTCTGAGGTGCCAGCCTGGATGTAAATCACTTTTATCCCATCGCTCCAGCCACTATATCCCACAGATTTTAAAACCATGGCCAAGGCCTTGAATGGCTTCATGTAGGGACAGAGATGGCCTCATGCCCAGCAATGAGCAAATGGAGGGAGTGCTGGTGCTCGCTGCTTGGGGAAACTCATGATTTTTGGGAAAGAGAAAGATGGGAACACGCTCCCTGCTCCGGGCGAGCCCAGCTTGGGATGACAGCGCAGATAGAGGAGGGGGTGGGCCTGGCCAGCTATAAAAACCAAACCCTTTGAGCCAGTGGCATCAAAGCTGCAGGTCCAGGAAGGGGTAAGGAGAGTGGGATTTTATTGCCCTGTTACTCATCTGGCAGCTCAAGGGGTGGTGGGGGGAGGCTGTGAATCAGGAGCTGCTTCATCAGCCCCAGGCAGGATCAGCCACCATGTCCGTGACAAGCGCTGCATCCCAAATCCAGGCTAAAGGGCCCCTTGAGGAGTCACTGGGACACAGTGATGCCTTCAGAAGGCTTTGAATCCATAGTGACACGAATGTCACCAGGAGGCCTGCCCTTGGTGTGGGCAGGCGCCTGTCCTGCCCCTGATTCATCGCCCACCTTTGCTGTTCCCTCTCTAGGGCAGCCCCAGGATGAGGAATCTCCTCCTTGCTGTGCTCCTGGCTTGTGGTAAGTGCCCCGCTGCCCCCAGGACACACCGGGATCCACCTGCCAACCTCAAGATTTGGGAACAATTCAGTTTTTTGCTTAAATTTTGCAATTTCACTCCAACACTTCATGTAGCACTGCTGAAGTCCTGGAGGGCTTTGTGAGGGGGAGGCTTTGGGATGCCCAGATCCATATTTATTTCACGGGGCCCTGGAGATTGTTGGAACATTTCCTGTCTGTGCCAAGCCCATGGCTGACCCTGGTGATGGGGGATTGCTGGTTGCAGCACGGCTTACAGGCTTGTTGCCTGTCCAAAGAGCAATACCTTCTGCCAGACTGAATCCAGGGGGTGCAGAAGCCAGACATTTTCCCTGTGAGGGTGGGCAGGCCCTGGCACAGGGTGCCCAGAGAAGCTGTGGCTGCCCCAGCCCTGGAAGTGTTCACGGCCAGGCTGGATGAGGCTTAAAGCAACCTGGGCTTGTGGAAGGTGTCCCTGCCCATGGCAGGGGGTGGAATGAGATGATCTTTAAGGTCCCTTCACTCCCAAACTGTTCTGGAATTCTATGATTCTATAATCCCTGGGGTGGGGTTAGGGTTCCTCATGGTTCAAACTCCTGAAAGTGTGTTTCCAGCAGTGCCAGACATTTAATTCTCTGCCTGGTGTGAGGTGTTGGGAACACCAGCAACCTCCCCACTCTGCACCGGCACAAGCCCCCTCCCTCTGCCTCTCCACAGGGCTGCTCCCAGCTGGCACCAGTGTCCTGGAGCTGGAGCGGATGATCAGGGCGACCACAGGGAAAAGTGCCCTGCTCTCCTACAGCTGGTATGGGTGTTTCTGTGGCATTGGGGGCAGCGGGACCCCTGTGGATCCCACCGACCGGTGAGTATCTGGAACAGCATCACCCCTCACCCACCCCAGTGAAGGGCAGTCCCTAAAATGCTGTACTCTGAGATGGGGGTTTGCCCCCTTCCCCAGCCACGTCCTGCTGCTGCCTGACCATGCCCTCCTCCGGGTCGCCTTGAATTTGAGGCTGGACCTTCCCTTACCTTCCAGGTGTGGTAAGGGAGGGTCGGAGGGCCGCAGCTGACGTGGTGTCCCCACAGGTGCTGCCAAGCCCACGACTGCTGCTACAGGAGGGTGAGGGAGGGCAAGTGCAGCCCCTTGATCACAACGTACACGTTCACCACGGATGACGGACACATCACCTGCAGTGAGTATAGAAAAGGGGTTCCATGGAGGTGGGGAACCAGCACTGCTCCCCATGACACCCCATCCCCGGAGCAGGGCACTAGGGAGGGCAACCCCTGGGGTGAAACCAGCCTGATTCCTGTCCAGGTCTGATAATTAAATGGGCATTGCAAGGGATGCAACAGGTGGGAGAGAGCAAGCACTGGGACACTGTTTCATCCACTTCCCCGAGGAAGCTCCAAGCATTGGGGGTGTCCTGAGGGGACCCCACCAGAAAAGCCACCACGGGGCACTGTGTTTCCACCCCACAGGTAACAAGCAGAGCTGGTGTGAGAGAGAGACTTGCCTGTGTGACAAGGCAGTGGCCTCGTGCTTCGCGAGCACTCTGCCCTCGTACAGTCATTCCTACCGCTTCTACTTCAAGCTGAAATGCCAAGGAAACGAGCTCCAGTGCTGAGGAGGGGGAATCTGCTCACAGACCTCCAGATTGTGTCTGGTTTCCCCCATTGCTGTGGCAAGAAAAGCCTGGCGTGGGGGCTGAGGAGAACCAGAGCCCACAAGGCTCCCTGCGAGGTGCTCAGGATGAGGAAGGGCACACACACATCATGGATGGAAACCCCCCAGTTCCCAGAAAGACACACCAATGTCCTCTTTCTTGTAACCCTTCCTCCTCCCTTGATTTAATTTCTCAGAAAAGATAATAAAGACCTATAATAAAAGGAATATAAACTGATTCTGGGGTGTTTTTCTGTAAGGGCCACTGAGATTAAGGCACTGCAATAGTGGCTGCTGAGTTTGGGGAGCACTTCCGCATCCCACACCTCAACCACACCCTCTGCCCAACATTCCAATACTTCCGTGGTCCCAGGAGGGCTGTAATTCACAGGTCTATCCCAACGTGGAGCAACAACTTTGGGGAACAGGTTGCCCAGAAAAGCTGCAGCTGCCCCATTCCTGGAAGTGTCCAAAGACCAGGCTGGACAGGGCTTGGAACAACCTGGGATAGTGGAAGGTGTCCCCATGGCAGGGGGGTGGAAGGAGATGAGCTTTAAGGTCCCTTCCAACCCAAACCATTACGAGATTCTACAGAAATTAAGGGTAAAGAATAGCCATCCACAGAGGAGGGAAGATTTCAAAACCATGACCAAGCTAAATTAGGTGGATGCTAATTTAGGAGGGCAGTTGGTGACCTGAATGGTTTCTGCAGAAGAGCTGTAATGAGGGTGTGGAAAAATCATACAGAATAAAATAAGGGAAGTTGCATTTGCTCACCACAAAACATTCATTTTGATTCATTTTTTTTCTCAGAGTGAGGGAGGGTTTAATCATCCAGTGTCTGCCCAACCTCATGTCTCTGGGAACTTGTATATTTAGAGATGCTTTCAGTTTGCCCACAGATTTCCCCCAAACAACTGATAACTAACCCTGAACCAGTTTTGCAGAGGGTCAGTTCCCAAACTGTACATCCTCTTGAAAATCCCAAACCTACTTCATTCCTGCCCAGGCTGAACCAGGGCTGTTCTTTCCCCCTGATATGGCTTTGTGGTGCTGGGAAGGACAAAAGAGAAGATGTTCAGGCATTTCTGACCAGGATCAGGGGGTGTTGGCTTCCTCCTCAGCCTGGAAGTGACGCTGCTTTGCCACCTCATCCCACCCAGCAGCAGCCCCCGCATGTGAGGTGCAGAGGTGGGGCGCTGGGGGGATTTCTGACACTCCTGTAAAGGGGAAGGATGGAGCCTTCTCTTTTGCAGAGAAGCCCAGTCAGCAACGTTTGAGTCAAAGGAGCCCCAGACAGATGTGAGCAAACCCTTTATAAAGAAAGCCCAGCTGGCTGCAGGACACTGTAAGTGGACCACTGCAGGACCAAAGTAAGTGGGGACGGAGAAATGCTTTTTATCCCTTTTCTCCTTTAACCAGAAGCAATATGGGAGCAAAATCCATGCCGTGAAAGCAGGAGCAAAGGAGATGCTACCTGAGATGCCAGCTTGGAGGAAGAGCAGTGGGTGCAGCCACTGAGGGCTGATAATTCCTCCAACTTTTCTTCCTTTCTCTTCATTTTGCTTTTTTCCACAACTGCACCATCCAATTCCCATCACTTTCCCTCAATGCTTTGTGCTGAAGTGACAGGTGCCATCTTCACTCCCCTCATCTTCTCTAGTCCCAAGAGAGGGGGAGTATCTCTGCTCCCAGATGAGGAGGAAGAAAGAAGGGAATGGTTTGGTTTTGGTATAACAGGGAATGGTTTGCTTTCCTCTCCCAGGGCTGTCAGAAGGATGAATTCTCTCCTGGCTCTCTCTGTGCTGTTTGCTTGGCGTAAGTGTCCTCACTCCCACCAGTCCCATGGCTCCCTGTGAAGTTACATCTGTGGAAATTAGGACCAGGATGGTGATTTCTTCACCTTTTCCCATCACCATCTCTCCCAAATATGCAACAACTCTCCTGCACCAAGCTGGGAGCAAGTTCCCTCTCCATTGTCTTATAATTTCTGTCACCACCCTGGTGCCAGTTTGGGGGCTGGAGGGATGGAGGTGCTGCAGAGGGGCTGGGAATCAGCATGATCCCCCTGATTTCCCCTCTTCAGGCTTGTGCCCAGCCCATGGGAGCCTCTTGCAGCTGCACAGCATGATCACGGAAGTGACAGGGAAAAATGCTTTGCTGCACTACGCCTTCTATGGCTGCTACTGCGGCCTGGGGGGCAAGGGGCAGCCCAAGGACGCCTCAGACAGGTGAGAACCCGCCTGAAACCCCCCTGCCTGAACAACACATCCTTGAATATTTTCAAATTCGGAGGGGTGAGGGAAGGAAAAGCCCAACCCCTAAAGTTTTGATTTCCCCTGCAGGTGCTGCCAGCTGCACGATACCTGCTACCTCAGCCTCCTGAACCACCACTGTGACGCCAAGAAGCAGAGCTACCGCTACAAGCGGCACCACGGCAGCCCCTCCTGCAGTAGGATCCAGGAAAAGGGTGGGTCAGCCCATCCTAAAGCCAGGGCTGACCCTGGGCTCCCCTCTTCCCACAGGAAAGGACTCCTGGTGTGCTCAGCTCTCCTGTGAGTGCGACCGCAGCCTGGCATTGTGCCTGAAGAGAAACGTCGGGAGCTACAGGAAACGCTACCAGATCTACCCTAATTACCTATGCAAGTGATAGGAGCCGGAATCTGGAGCTCGCTGCACTCCTGCCTGTGCCGCTGTAAATTTAAGTAATGTGAAAATAAACAATGTGCTTAAACCACTCCGTCCTCTGAGAGTTGCTGCTGTTGGGGAGGTACAGAAATCTCTGTGAATAATCAACATCTTCCCAAAACTTTCCAAGAACTCGGTGCCTGCGTCACTCCGGGTTGCAGCCCACGGGACGAGGGGGGGTGGCCGGCGAGGGACGGGGCGTAGCACTCAATGTTTTTGGGACAGAGGAGTCATTTCGGGGTTTCCAGTTCGGAGCCCGCGGGCCGGACACGGAGGGCTCTCCCCGGGAGGACGGACTGACAGCGAGGAAGATCCTCCGGTGAGCAACTCCCCCCATCCCCATCCCCCTGCCATGGAAACAAAAATACACGGGGGTGTGAGCAGGAGGCAGCGGGAACGCTGACTTCTGCTGGGAGGGCAGAAAAGGGTAGGGAAAGTGTCATTGCTCCCAGATAAAAACGCAGCTGGGATGTTGGACCACAGGGGGAGAAGTGCCAAAAGTGGTGGGACAGGAGGTGGGGGGTGTTGGAATGGTGGGACAAGTGGTGGGACATGCTTAGGTGGTGGGACAGCAGGTGGGAGCTGCTGGGGTAGTGGACACGAGGACCATGCTTTGGTGGTGGGACAGGGGGTGGGAATGCTCAGGTGGTGGAACAGTCTCAGAAACCACTTGCTGTCAGCCAAGAGGCAGCAACACAGATGTGAGGAGTCCCAGCTGCTTTCTTCATTCCAAATTTTGGGGTGATTTGACCCAATTTCAGAGAGGAAGGTTTGCATGGCAGCACCAGCCAAGCTGCCTGGCTGAGCCTGTCCTCTGTTTCTCCTCCCAGGCCCAGGTGAGAGGAAGATGAAGGTCCTGCTGGTGCTGACAATGCTGTTTGCCTGCAGTAAGTGCATCCCCGACCCACAGACAGGAGCCAGGCTCCCTCCCTGTGCCCATGTGCATTCCCTGTGCACTCCTCGGGGAGACTCTCTCTTCTCCTCCCGTTTCCCAGGCCTCATTTCTGCATTTAAGCTACAAAAAATCACTTTATTTGGTCACTCCAGGTGTGTTCACAGCTCATGGGAAGCACCCACGTACCTTCACACCAGGACTTGAGGGAAGAACTGTAGGAAATCTGACTGCCCACGGATGCTACTCAGGACGGGGCACCTCCAGGGCTTCATTGGACCGGTACAGGCAACGCTGCCCCAGAGGGCTAACACTGGCCCCAGAGGGCTAACACTGGCCCCAGAGGGCTAACATTGGCCCCAGAGGGCTAACACTGGCCCCAGAGGGTTAACACTGGCCCCAGAGGGTTAACACTGGCCCCAGAGGGCTAACACTGGCCCCAGAGGGTTAACACTGGCCCCAGAGGGCTAACATTGGCCCCAGAGGGCTAACACTGGCCCCAGAGGGTTAACACTGGCCCCAGAGGGTTAACACTGGCCCCAGAGGGCTAACACTGGCCCCAGAGGGTAACCAGGGCTGTGCACTCCATCAGCCCACCCCAAAGCTTTGCAAAGTGCAGATCAGGTGCTGGGCAGCAGCAGGAAGGGAACGGGTTTTGGGAAGCAGGGAAAGCTCAGTGCTCACCCCTAATTCCAGCCCCGCAGTCAGTACGGTGGTGCCAGTGACAGCTGCCTGGTTCATGGGATGGCAGCAGTGGAGAGGGATGGTCCTGAAGCCAGGATGCTGGGCAGGGCTTGCACAGGGAAGCAGAGGCATGGGAATGGGCTGGAAAGAGCAGCTGCTGGGCGATTCAGAGCAGAGGATGCAAAGCTGGCGGCTCTTCCCGCCCAGCTCACAGAGCCTGTGTCAGGTAGGTCAGAAGCAGCTGGTGCCACATTCCCGATGAGTCCAGGCTCTCCTTCTCCCTGCAGGTGCTGCCTGCTCCGTGCCTGCTGCTATGCCAGGCTGGCGGCTCGGCAGTGCCGCGTGGGACCCGTCCAGCCCCTCTCAGCACCCCAGGCAGGAATCCCCACCTGCAGTGAGTCCTCACCCCCTTGCCTTGGGATGCCCCTTTCCAGACCATCTCCCTCCCTTGTGGTGCCCTTTTTTGGGCAGCCCCCGAGAGCTATGCCCAAATGAAGCTCTCGGGTGTGCTGTGCGGCCTTTGCAGGGTCAGGGACGTGGTGCCAGAGAAGCGCCTGCAGGTGTGAGCGGGCGGCCCGGCTGTGCCGGATGCGTGCCCAGAGGCCGCTCCGGCGCCGCATCAAGTGCCGGGGACGAGCCAGGAGGTGTTGAAGCAAAAAATTCCCTTTGCAAAACCACCTCCGGACTGATCCACGAAGGGACAGAGCCGGCAGCACTTCCCAGCCCTGGCGAGTCTCCTCCTCGGGGCATTTTGGCTTTGGCACGAGGACAACAACCCTCCGGTGAAGCTGCGTCAGTGTCCGCTGGACCTGAGGAGGGGGAGCAGCACTGCAGCGATGTTTCAGCACAGCGAAAAAGGGAGAGGTGGGACACCTGCCCCTCGGCCCTGTGAGGGGCACAGGGAACCAGCAGGAGCATCGTCCCTCAGCTCTGGCTCCCCTGCAAGCCTGTCCACTCTCTCCGCTTCTTGCTTCACCTTCTGTTGCTCCAAATAAAAACAGAGAGCCGAAAGCACTGGTCCTCAGTGTGCCGTGACTCGGCTGAGCCCAGCGACCACCCCTTGCGTCTCAGACAGCTTTCCTGTTGAAATTCCTGGAAAAAATTACAGCTGAGAGGTGACACAATTCCCACCAAGGTGCAGCAGCACCCCTAAACTGCTCCACTTAGCCCTGAGCCTTCAGGCTCTGAAGATGTCCATTTTTTTTCCAAGATGGAGAGGTAGAAGTGGGTGGAAGGGCTGGAGCAGGTGTGATGCTGTGGGAGGATCAGGCTTGGAGTTCAATGATCCCTGTGAGTCCCTTTCAATTTGGGATATTCTATGATTCCCTGAACCTCTGCTGTGCTGGGGTGGCCAGGAGCTTGCCTCACACCAGTGCTGAGCAAAACAGACTTCTCACTAGAAAAGAATGTTTTGGCCCGATTCTGCAACAATCCCGAGCACATCCCTTAGGAAAAAACCTCCCCACTGCGCAGCTTTTGTGCCCTGCAGGGTTGACCCCTGAGAAGTCTCGATGCTCCAAACCGCCTTGTGGCTCAGCGATGAAATAAAGTCACAGAAACAGCAAAAGAACACTCTTTTCCCAGGGGCTGATGCCCAGCTGGAATTCCCTCCCTGGCTTGCCCCAAAGCTGAAGTCAATGGGGCCAGGCAATATCCCTTACATCAGTGATGCTTCCCACCAGCTGTCACCCAGGAATCAGGCCCTTCCAACTTCATCTTTCTCCTCCAGCACCATGTGATCCTACAGGAGATGAGGAAGGAGTGGGCAGCCCTTCACCCAGCAGCTGTTGTTTGCAAGGCGCAAATCAAGGATCAAATCCTCACTGGCAGGATATCCCGGACAGATTTCAGGCCGAGATAGACTGAATCACACTATCCCTTTGTAAACTCTGGGTGAATTTTAACTATCCACGTATTTTCCTGCTTGGACATCTGGCTGTACAAATCCATTCATACGGAGCTCCAAGTGCTAGTGTGTTGGCTCAGATACATGGCAATAAATTGGCCTGGAAAAGTTGTGGGGTTTGTACTGTGAAACAAAATCCACATCCTTCCAGGAGGCATTTGGCCCTGTTGGGGCTTATTTCCCATTTGGAGAAGGGATACTGCAAAGCTGGCACAGGTAGAAGGGCTGGGGTGGAGAGGTGTTCATGTGGAGCTCAGCCAGTTTGATAGGAATATACTTTATTTCTCAGTGACTTGGAAAATCCTGAATTATGGCAAGCCCTGGTTCAGGTCATTAACTCAATGCCATCCAAGGGGTCTGCTTAAATTAACCTAGAGAGTTGATGAGACAAACATCCCATACCAGAAGGGGGAAGAGATTTCGCTGAGTTGAGTTCCCTTTTCTCACCACATCTCTGATTCCTACACAAGTCGCATCCCTGTTCCCTGCCTCAGTTTCCCTACCAGCCATGGGGGATTTCCTCTCCTGCCTCAGTGCCTGTCCATGCTGGGGTTCTCCAAAAAGCAACACAGAGCACTGGGCACTTGCAATATCTGCCAGAAAAAATCTGCTAAATGATTGTTCAGCATCATCTATTTAATTAGAGATTCTCTCAGAACAAACAACAATCAGCCTCTCTTTTTCCACTTCCATTAATACACCACTTGCCTTCTTTTGCTTCTAAATAAAGGTGAGCCAGACATCTCATGCCATGGGCTCATCTTTTTGAGAGCAGCACACAGTGCCCAGCACACACAGGGAGGGACAGAGCATCCCCATGTGCAAGGGGCATTTGGGATGTCAGAAGTCCCCACTACCAAAAAACCCCACCATACGTGGCCTCTGTTCAGCCCTGTTTCCAGCCACAGCCATTCTGGAGGACCATAGGATCTTCCTTTGCTCCCAGTGTTGTATCTCACCCACTCTGGTAAGTCAGAAGTGGAGGATGCTTTGCACTGTCTGCCTTTTTTCCCTGCCCAGTTAAGTCAGGATGGAAACACTAAGACATAGAGTGGTGTTTTCTATCCAAGACATCAAAAAACTAATATAGTCATCCAGGAGGAAAGCGAACACAGGATCACAAAATGGTTTGAATTGGAAAAGGTCATTTCATTCCACCTCCTGCCATGGGCAGGGACATCTTTCACTGAGTGGTTCCTGTTCTCCCTCAGGTTCTCCCATTTTGCTCAGGGAGGCACTGAGATGCTGAGATATCTAGAGCCATGCATGGAGCTGACCCCAGCCTACCGTACTCATCCCAGTCCTCCAAATCCTCCCCTGCCAAGGGCTCCACCAGCATAAGGCACCTGGAGCCTCCAGCAGTGCCAAGGGACTTGCACACGTAGCAAGAGCAACATGAAGATTGTCAGTATTTGCCCTCCAAAGGAGGGGCCTTGTCAAGTGTACGTATAAGGGACTATATAAGGTGTGACTGGCAGCACCTCAGGTTCACCACACCCTGGGGCTGCCACTACCAGATATGAAGCTCTTCTCACTGCTCCTCTTCTGTGAGTAATCCCCTGCCAGTTCCCACCCTCCAGGAAAGCCTGGTGGTGCTCACAGCTTCTATCCATGGAGATGGGAAGGGTGAAAATGCTCATTTTTGCTGTGGGAGGGTAGGATGGCAGGTTGCTTTTCCCAGTGCTCCTAAACAACTTCTCCAGTCATAGGACTGGCCCTCACCTGTTGCAACATGCTCCAGTTTGGAGCGATGATTAAGCACAAGACCAGGAAATCTCCACTGTCCTACAATGGTTATGGCTGTTACTGCAGCTGGAGGGGATCCAAAGAGCCCCTAGATGCCACTGACAGGTAAGTTGTGATCTGGTGAAGGCAGAGCAGGTGCCCCAGCCCTCCCCACCTCCCTGGGTACCACAAGGGAAATTTTGCCCTGCTTCTGGGAGCAGAGAGCAATGAGAAAATTGTTGCTTGTCCTTAAAATCTCCCTAAAAGCATTTTAGCAGCAGTAGCCAATGGGAAGGATGCACGTTGTTGATGTTCAATCAATGTCCCACCTGTCCCCCATCCTGTCTTGACCCCTCCCGTGCTCTCAGGTGCTGCCACGCCCACGACTGCTGCTATAAGGATTTGGCTTCCTCCCACTGCAGTCCCAAAGCAGTCACCTACAAATACTTCCTCCGGGGAAGCCAAATAACCTGCAGTAAGAGCTGGTGCACAGGCAAAGCTCCAAGTGAGAAGGCACATACCATCTATGCTTGTATTCCAAGGTATCCTTTAGACCATCCTGGCCTGGCAACACTCGCAGCAAAGGGGGTGGAAATACAGGGAAAGTGCCAGGAATAGGGCAAATAAATATTTGCTGGATTATGGTGAAGTTTAGAGCCTGGAGACCTCCCTAAGGAGGGGCCTTGTCCTTCCCTAGAGGCCAAATACTGAGGGTCTGAGGTGACTCTCCCAGCCTAGACAGGGATCAGCCACCCCGATTTCCCCAGAGCAAACACATTATTTCACAGACCAAAACAAAGCCTATCCCTCTGATCCAAGCAAGTATCCACACGTCCCCCAGGGATAAAGTGAAGTAAAGGGTCACTCCAGGGCCAGACAGCTCCACACATCAGAGGTGAGAGTACCTGAGACACCCCAAGTTCAACCCAGGAGTCTGCATATGCGGTGGGGATGGCCCAAAAAACACCCTGTGACTCTCCCACCCTTTGCCTGTCTGCATGGTCTCCCAAATTTTCTTCCGGGAACCGGGAACCACTGCCAAACAGTGACCTGTGCATGCGACAAGAAGGCAGCTGAGTGTTTCCAGAGGGCAGCTGGGACCTACCACAATTCTTACAAGAATTACCCCAACTTCAGGTGCAAGGGCCGAGCACCCTTCTGCTAAACACCCCAGGGTCAAAACCTGACAGAATCCATGGAAATGGTGGGGATTTTGCATTCCCTGCAGTCAGGTGGGACACGGCAGAGCCCTGCAGCACCAAAAAGGTGTCCAGCACCTTTCCCTGGAGCCAGTACACAGGGAAAACCTGCTCCCCAGGATTAAATAACTCATAAAAATGAGGGAAACCCTGCAAATAAAGATACATCTTCAAAGAAAATGTGTAAAGCATCTCCAGGGTTGTGTTTGGGGAATCAGTGGTGGAAGGGTAGGAAGCAGCACGGAGCCTCAGAGTTGTTTTTCTGAAGTCAATATTTATGCCTGCACAAAGTTTAGCATCTTTTCCTTAAAAGACTGAGCAGAAGTGACATTTTAGCAGCCACACAGTAAGTCTTAAGAGCTAGAGAAAAAAAAAAATGACCACAGAAAGAGAGAGTGGCTGCTGCACCCCAAACTAGGCTTCAACCCCAGCTTCCCTCTGAGAGCTTGGCCTCAATCCAGCCCCAACCTGTTCCTAACAAGCATTTAAGCAATTAACATCACTGCAGGCATGGGGCAGTCCAATAGTGGGGTCTCAGGGGTTTAGTGTGATCTTTTCTTGCACCCCATCTCAAGCAAGTCCAGACAGGTCTCCTCAGGCTGCCACTCCCTGCAGCTACCTCATCCCTCACCAGAACTGCACATGATCCCAAATATGCCCTAATTACCTCTAACAAGCCAGGGCCAGCTGTCCCACAGCCCAAAGCCTTGACGGAGGCACCTCTATCTTTAAGGCTGCCTCTGGAGATGTGTTCTGCTTAAAATAAAGGAGTTTTAAGGGTAATTTCTTTGAGTTTCACCTCAGCACCAGAGGGCTCCTGCCTGACTCCAGTGTGTCATCACAAGCAATACCTCCACCCCACCCCCACGTTCCCACAGTAAATGTGGCATCTTTATAACTCCAAACCACTCATTTCTACTCATTTTCTATAGCCACTAAAGGATTTTGAGAGAAGAGCTGGGACAGTCCTCTAAATCTGGTTCCTGCAACCAGGCAGCACCAATCAAAGACCCCACAGCTCAATACCAGCACAAATCATCTCTCTTATATCTAACACTGGAGTATGGAATGTTTTTCACACACAATTTCCTTCCTGTCCTGCCGTTCCTGAAGCTCTGCAGATGTGGATACCACAAATGTCATGGCAAAGCTGTGAGATAACCAAAAGGAAGCTCCCAAGAAGGAAAAAAGGATGGGAGACACAGAGCAGCACAGGCAGAAAACCCTTCCATATGTAGAAACACTTACAGAGGTCATCCAAAACCTGGCTAAATGCTTAAAACTTCCAGTGCAACTGAACTCCTGCCTGCAGGGGCAGGATTTGGGAAAAATAAGTCCAGAGAAGATGATGTAGGTAGATAGGATGCAGGGAAAGCGGCTGTGCTACATCATCCTGCTGTGTACTCGCCCTTGAGAGGCTGATGGTGACCCCACTGCTGATCCAACAGCAGCCAAAACACCCTCAGAAATGTCAGCCAGCAGCTCAAAACAAAGAGTCATCCTCCTCAGATCCCATGGGAATATCCAGTGCTTACTGTCCATCCTTGGACTGTGGATTATGAAGCTCCACCAAAGAGTAAACACGAGCTATGATTCATGATGTGCCTCTGCTCTCATTTCTTGCCTCCCCTTCCTCCTGCAAGGAAAAGCCACGACCTGTTTACAAACAAATTCTCTATATAAAGGTGAGTTCCATGAGGAATGTGGCCTAAAGATTCCCTAGAAAAAAAAATAACAGATTGGGAAGGTGAAAACTTCAACAGGAAAATTTAAAAGAGAAAAAATAAGTTTTAACGTGTTTTGACATACAGCGGTTGGGCAGGCACAAAGCTGTCCTGGCAGAAACGGAGGGAATTTGACTGCTATATCATGATTTAAGAGCCCAGCACATTGAGAGTTTATTTTAATCATATTACACTTGGAAATTAAAGCATTTTCAGCCCCAGATTTGGTTCCAGGTATTCATGGCCATGAGTTGCTGACCAGCCTCTCTCTCTGCTTTTTGTGCTGCTGTTGCAGAACTGCCCTTTCGTCCTGGACACGATGGGGTGAGGTTTGAGTTCCCTCCACACCTACAGAAGCTCCAGGACAACTCCCTTCACAGCTCTCAGGCTCCAAGAAACAATGATCCTTTAATCAGTTCTAGCTTAGGAGGACAAAAAAGCAATTCATTAAGATAAAACCTCTTATTCCAAGTGTACAACTGCAAATTCTTTCTTATTTTTTTCAAACCTGCAGAATCCACCTGCATTTCAAACCAAAATACAGCTAGGCAGGACTCAGGTGATACACATACCTGAACTGCTTTGCTACACCCACTGTCACAACTGGTCACACACTGAAGTGATTTGCACATCCTCCCCACTAAGCTGTGAATTGCCTCTCTTTCCACTACAGTAAAAATTACTGTCTTGGAGAAAAGGAATTCCTAAACAGGAATTCTTACAGGAGGGCCTTCTTTTTATTCTTCAACTAACAGCAGCAGAGCACACAAAGTACCAGCTCAGATCTTGGCAGTTCAGTAAAAAAAGGCATTTTTATTTTCATGCTGATTTATAAACTTCAAAGCACACATAGATTTTTTTTCGAAAAATCCCCTTCACCTCTGCCCTGGCTGACAAGGTGTCTCCTGCTGTTGTCTAAGTGCACATGTGCTTTCTTCAAGCTTAGTGCTTGTCACAAATCCAAAAACCTGAGTAAAGCTGAAACACTGGGAGCCATAAATCCAGAGCTGAATCCCAGAGTCCTTTCACCTCATCCAAATCCTCAGTCCTACAGTGAAAACCACCACTGGAGACAAGCTGTACATCCTACTTGGTGACCTCACCAAAATGGAATTTAAGATGGAAAAATCCTACCCTGGAAAAAGCTTGATTTATGAAGTGAAATAGGCAGGTTTCCCAGGGACTACTACTGCTTGGAAGCTTGTTCCCAGGACCCTTGTTCCTTTAGCTACAATAATGTAATTTGGGGACTAACACCTATCAAGTTCCTGGCTTGGACTAAAGCTCTGGAGCAGCCCAAAAGCTCCAAAATATGACAAAGGGGATGAGATTCCAGATGTCCAAGTAACAACACACACCAGAAATCTCCTGCCTGCTCCTGTTACATTTTACAGACTCATCAACCATCACCAGATGAGTTGGCTCTGCAGTCTCATGAGTCCACTGGTATTATTATTTTGGGTGGGTTTATTTCTCTCTACAGGTCTCAGGTAGCAAAGGAGCTGGTCCCAAACTTCAGCAAGCATGGATGCAGCAATCCCATTCTCCCTTCATGTATTAATGACTTCTGAACCAGCCCAGTACAAGGCCAACAGTTCTAGTGAGATTAAAACTTGTCACTGCATTCCTTCCTGGCAAAGAAAAGAGGAATGTCATGTTTGAGACAATCCTGGCTGACACACTTTGCTTTGGAAAGGATTCTGAGACTTCGTTCACTTCATTTAAATTTAATAGAAAACCCCCCACCAAAGTTGTTCCTGAGTTGAGATTTGTTAAGCTTTCCCTGACAGAAAAGTAAAATAAAGCTTCTCCAAGCATAAGCAAGTAAAAAAAAAAAAAAAAAAAAAACCAAAAAAAAAAAAAAAAAAAAAAAAAAAAAAAAAAAATCCAGGGACATCAAGAGATGTCAAAGCAAATGTGACACTGCTATGTGAAAAAAAGGTTCTCACCTTCATCTAACTCCAAAATTGTAAACCCAAGTCTCTACTTTATAAGTTCAAACAACTCTTCTCACACACAGGTTGATGCAGAATCACTGAGAAACTGTCTTCTCCACAACCAAAGGAACAGGAATTTCTCTTGTCCTTGGAAACCTCTGCAGAAACCGATTTTAAGGTAACAAATGGTGGTGCCTCAAAATTTGCTCAGAGGGAGTTTTGTCTTCATCAGTTTTATTTGCTTTTCTCCTCAGAGTACTCAGCACACACTGAGTCAGATGTTTAGGGCTGCCATGGTCTTCACCAAGGTGATGTGGTTGGTGGGGTCTGTCTCTGTCCTATTGTCTGCACAGTTGTTCTTCATGGCCAAGACCTTCTGCCGGTGCCTCTCCTCCTGCCGCTTCTTCTTCTCCAGCCTCTGCTGCTCCTTCTTCTGTTTTTTAGCTGCCTGAAAGGGAAGGGTGAAAACACAAAGTTCAAATCACACATCTTCTGCTCAGCTGGGGAAAAATAACACACTGGAAAGGAGATGACCAGATATCAAGGCAGCAGCCAGGGAACATTCCTAACTATTTACCAGGACTTTATTTCGGGCTGTTTTGGGAAGAGTGCCACAAGTCATTAGGAAATGTTTGTTATCAGAGAAGTCACAGCTACAGCAATGATAAAATGCAGTGAGCAGAAACTCTTTTTGATTAGAAGAAGAGAGTCGCTGAGTAAGCCATCCCCTAATTGTTAAAGAGTACTCACATCAAACCCCCCTCACACACCTTTGGCTTCCTGCTGGCTTGGTTCTCTTCACTGGATCCAGCCTGTCCTTTGTTGTTTCCTGTTTCACTTCGATGCAGGCTCTGATTTCCAAAGATTCTTGAACCGCTTCCATTCTCCTCCCACAGTGTTTTGCTGCAGGACTTCTGATCCCTGCTCTGGGGTTCCTGCTGCTCCTCGGTACCTACCAACAACAGGTTTTCCTCAGACACTCTACTCAGGAGCTGTTGCATTGTCAGCCAATTCCTTCTTCCCAAATTTCTGGAGCAGTGGGTTTTTTTGGAAGCTGGATTGAGGCTTCCCTCACTAACCACCTTCCTGAGCACAGAAGGCTGAAGTGGGAGCACACAACAGCAAACCCCAACTGTCCTGCTGCTGTCCCCAGGGAACATGGGCGTCATGTTCACCTGAAGCCCCAGGTGACAAACTCTGTGCACTCACCAGTTCCTTCTCCTTCCTTCACTTGTAAGATGGCAAATATTGCAGATTCTATGTTGTAATCCTCTACTTCCAGGACGTGGCTTACTAAATCCATGTCCTGTCCACAAGAGAAGGAGAACACTGAAGGAGTTCAAATCTCTGACACACATTCACTTATCAACCACCTGCACCACAGAGAAGGGGCTGCTGCTTTTATGATTGTTCAATTAGTGCTTCATTTCTGAAAAAGTTGAGGGGGGAAAATCTTAAATTCCTGAAGATATCAAGAGAAACTAATATGGTCTTTCAGCATGTTTCACTCTTGGCCCCTTCTGTTCTAAGCATTTGCACAGTAACAACAGCCAAGAGTCACAGATTATCCAGTTATGTGGGATATTCAACATCCTCAAACAATTTCAAATCTCACAAGATTTGTTTTCAAGTGAATTTTCTGACAGATTGCAAGACAAGCTTTCCAGAATTATTAGGTATCCACACAGAGTAGGTATTTCATCTGCATTTAAGGGTTGACACTAGGATGAAATCCATCCTGGTTTAGGGTTGTGGTACTGAGATTGTCCAAGGTGAATATTTCTTAGAATTTTTCCCAGGACTACTTTCATGTATCAAGGACATTTGAACACTAAGCACAGAAAGGCTCCTCAGTACTTACTGAACACCCTGTTGCATTGCACACTTTTTGTACAGCATCTTCCACTTCAGTCTCATCCTCAGAGTCGCCCTTCTGTGGCTTCACTTCCTCTGTCTTATTTGCATTGTTTTTGCAAAGCATCTGAAGAAAAGCAAAGCCCAGCAGATAACACAGCACGTAATCAAAAAAAAAAAATCTAATAATTGTAATGATTATTGAGCACTTATCTCAGAAACATTGCATGTCAAAGCATTTTGGAAATACCGTAACTTCCATCATCACTGGCATCTCCTGCACTACTCTCATGCACTACACCACCATGAATGCCAATAAACAAACCTATAAATGGATTAATTTTAATACAATACCATCACACAGCTGTGTGCAGAGACCCTCAAGCACAGCACAATTACTCTTTAAGATCAAGAAGTGACATGTGAAGAGGACAGCTGCATCTAGCTGTTACATTTCCAGCTCTTTCCTCTCTTCTTTTTGTTTTCCCACTTGAGGTGCATGACTATATAATTTAGATGTGGTTGCTTCCAGACAACCCACACCACAGCATCAGGTTTGGGATTGATTTCCAGCCCAGAAGTTGGAATCCTCCACAGCCTTTCTCAGGAGAGCTGGCAGCAGGAGCCACAATGACCTCAGAGCTTTGCTAACCCAGCAGGACACAGGGACCACACTCTTCCCTCAATCCCAAGGCAAAGGAGAAAAGAAATCAACTGCCAACATTCATCAGCTTTATTTATCACCTACAGCTGGCTCAGGTAATTCTGTCACAACCAACCTCCATCTGAAGATACGCCGGAGCTTCTGAGTCATCGTCGATCCTCCTCACGCTGTCGTAGTGCTCCCCGTGACGATAGGCGATGTGCAGCTCCCTCGCATTGCTCTTGTCTGTGCCCTGGATCTACACAAAAGAAACAAACTGCAAATGAGGATTTGGAATCAATCTCAGCATCAGATTTGTCCAAGTATTAATCTTCTTGGCCAGGAAGAGAGTACATTGCTACCAAAGCTTTCTAAACAGGAAGAGCTGATCAAAAAATTCAGCTGTGCCTCCAGTAACAACAGAGCTTCTGCCTCCAGGAGAAGGTTTGAAAGCCAGATACTTAATACTGGTCACTTACATCACAACAAACAAAACGTGGGATGAAAATGTTTCTGTGGAAAGCTCAGAACTATTTCCTAAACTTTCCGCGGTATCTATCAGTTTTACGACCATCTTCCCAGATCCAACTACAACAATGCTCCTCGGGAATGCACAGTATCACTTTCCCATCAAATATGAGGAGAGAGTCCATTCAAGTGATGGCGACAATGGAAACAGTCACCCAGAGTAAGTTTTGATCTGCATCTGGGACAAGATGCTTTTTTAACAGGATTCCAAGTGGCTGTGTTTTGGTTTTAAAAGAAAGCCAATCCATGAAAATGTACTAACTCTACTCAGGAACACTGTTAACAATCAAATGTCCCTTTGCTTTGTCAGCACCAAGTACAGCAGTTTCCACAGAAAACTCCTGCTCTGATATTATCTGTACTGACTGCAAGAACAATTCCTACCCTGATCATCAAACTGTTAGCTAAGAGCTACCCAGCGTTCCAGCTCCTGCCAGGAATGCAGAAAATCCCACTGCACTAGCAAACCTCCTTGGCTTGACCTGTCAGCCGGAGTTCACAGACCTGACAGCCCTCCCAGAGCAGACGTCAGCCAGCAAAGGACCAGAACTGCTTTGCTTTAGGGCTACTAAACTAGGAGTTTCTCAACCCTTTGACGTCTGTGAGTGGCCTTATCTCCACCCCCACACCATGCACCAGGTCACCTTTCAGCCCTGTCTGTGCTTCGTGCTGCACTAATAACTTCAGGTTTCCAACACATAATTCTCCATTCATCTCTTTCACACTTATTCACCTTTAGATTCCAACTCAACACTTGGTTCTATTAACCCCTGCTTTTTATCCTATTAGGTTATTCAACATGTTGGAACTCAGTAAACTTTATTTTCATCTGTCAGTGCTTGAATAAGTATCTAACAAATCCCAAAGCTCTTAAAAGATTATTCTGAAAATTAGACAATTTAGCTCTCACTAGAGAAGCCTCTCTCCACTCTGGAGCAAGCCCAGAGGAGGCCACCAAGATAATCAGAACGATGGAGCAGCTCTTCCATGAGGAAAGGCTGATAGAGTTGGGATTCTTCAGCCTGGAGAAGAGAAGGCTCCCGAGTGACCCAACTGTGGCCTCTCTGTGCCTGAAGGAGCCAACAAGTCAGATGGAGAGACTTTGGACAAAGCCTGGAGTGTCAGGACAAGGGGAAATGGCTTCAAACTGCGAGAGGGCAGGGTTAGTTGGGATACTGGCCAAGAATTCCTCCCTGTGAGGGTGGGCAGGCCCTGGCACAGGTTGCCCAGAGAAGCTGTGGCTGCCCCAGCCCTGGGAGTGTCCAAGGCCAGGTTGGATGGGGCTTGGGAGGTGTCCCTGCCCATGGCAGGGGGTGGCACTGGAGAAGCTTTAAGGTCCCTTCAAAACCAAAGCATTCTCTGGTTCTGTGATTCTATGAATACACTGGACTGTGAGTAAAAACTGCAGCTCTAAATCATGCTCAGCTAACTACAGCTACTGCTCATCTTTGACAGATCAGGAAGTTTTTACACTGTATTCATCAGCTAAAAATGAGGCCAAACTGTAGAAATGTTTTTTCTCACCTGCCACAGTGGAGCATAGAGCTGATGAATAACCACGTTGATTTGATTGTTCCTTGCAAAGGCCACGATAGCATCATTGCCAGCAAAGGTCCCAGGCTTGGCCAAATTGGTAACTAAAGGAGAAAAACATTCAGAAGAGTTAGAAACCTACTTTCTGACACTTCCAAAAGCACTGGAGGGATAACAAGCGATGAAATTTCAGCACAAGCACAGGAAACTCTGGAAGGGAAATCCCACCTGTGAAACAGTGAGTGCTCAGGCAAGATTTTGGCAGCAACAGAAGTTAATGCATTTAAATGATCACAGAAATCTCTAAAAAAAAAAGCAGCAGACCCTTAAACTAAGCAAGTCCACTGTCTCTGTTAGCTCAGAAGGAAGAGTGCCACATACTAAGAGACCAGTATCCATGTATCACCTATGTGGCACCTGGCACATCCTCAGAGCTGGTGAGACAAAGGCTGCATTCACCTCTGCTTTGGAACTTCCCTGCATTCCCAGCATGAAACATGAGGGGCCAAGGAGAATGAAACCCAAAGAAATCAGTCCTTTACCCAAACAGCCAAATACCCACAAGCATTCTAGGAGAACTAGACAATTTTTCTTAAGTTCCTTTTGCAAACACCAATTTTTTTTTTACTCCTTCCTTTTTTCACCTCTCATTCCTTCTCCAAGTTTCTCCTAAATTTAAACAATTTCCAAGACAAATTTATTGCAAGTTTAACAGCTCATCTTCCTACAGCATCGACAGAGACAGAAATGCAGAGTTTGTAAAAACCAGAGAGGAGCCCTGACATGGTTCTGGGATGTGGAACTGGGGAGTGAGAAGGTGCTCCAAGGAAATGGAATCCCACTACCCAATAAGCCCTCCCATGAGTGCCCTGTGGAGCCCATACCATGCTTCTCAAAGGGCACATCATCCTCCACAAATGGCTCAAAGTCCCCCCTCTGCTTCACCATGTACTCCACTGTTTCCTGTCGATGCCTCAGGTGGTTTCTGGAGTGCCCCTCGAGCTGGTCACCCAGGGCCCGAAACAAGCAGTTGCTGTCAAAAGAGAAACCACAAGTTGGGGTGTCTGAGGCACAGCCAACAGGTACAGCATTAAACAAACACCCAGTGCAGGAAGAATCTGGTTTGAAAGGGAAAGGAAAAGAGCTATGCCCAGTTTGTTTATCAAGAATATGACTATGAAACAGCACCTATTCTCTCTGCTTGAATGGCTGCTGAGACTGCAGTGGGTGGCAGGAACATGAGATGAGTGATCATATCATCAGCTCCATCACAGTCAGTCAGTGCTGGAGGGCTGGGGGGCCAAACTGTCTTAAACTGACACTGGGACAAGTGACATAATGCAATAAAGGACAAACCAACGACTTGCTGAGCCATTTCTCAGCAGAAACATCCGATGCCCCTTTCACCCAATGACTTCTGGACCATCCTGTGCTCTGCACAGCCCTTGGCTCTCCGGGGGAACAGGGCTGGGACTGGCAGAGCCCTCAAGCCCTACAGAAACACGGAGCACAGCAGAGCTGAGCGCCCTGATCCTTGTACAGTTCCGTGGGGGAGTTCTCAACCCTGCAGAGCACTGATTTCCCCCGCCCCGCAAATCTGTCTCTCAGCCCCCAGGGGGAACACAGCCTCCCCACCACCGGGGAGGACGAAGCCCTCTGCCCCCGTGGCTGGAGCCGCGGGGAACCGCCGGCCCCCGGGGTGCCGGGCGGACCCGCCGCGGCGCTCACCCATCGCCCGGCACCTCCCGCAGCTTAAGGCCGAGGGCCCGGAGCTGCTCAGCGAGGCCGCCGCCGCCGCCCGATGAAGGGCCCGGGGCCGGTCCCGCGGAGGGGTTGCCGGGCCGCCGGCCCTTCCTGGCCCCAGCAGGCCGGGCCTTGCCCGCCCGTGTGCGGGACATGCCCGGCGGGGGCGGAACCGGGAGTCACGTGACCGCGGCATCGGGGGGAGTCACGTGACCACGACACCGGGTGGTGGAGTCACGTGATCACGGCATCTGGCAGAGTCACATGGCCACGGCTGCGGGTGGAGTCACATGACCGCAGCTCAGTGGGATCCACGTGACCACTGTACCGGGAGAACAGATCACGTGACCGGGAGCGCGAGCGGGTCACGTGATCGCGGCACCGTGGAGCGCAGGTCACGTGATCGCGACATCGGAGATGGAGCGGGTCACGTGACTGCGGCATTGGAGCGGGTCACGTGACCGGCCATGCCGGGGCTCCGTCCAGGAGGAGCAAGAGCAGGGCAGGGCAGGGAGTCCCGGGAGTCCCGGAGGGAAACTGGGGCTGGGATCACGGGGTGGGAATCGCGAAGGGAAGGAGGGTGCAGCCGAACCTCGGGAGCGGCGCGTCCGCGGGGAAAGGCCGGGGCGGGCTGCGAGAAGCAGCACCGCAGATCACTAACACTGTGCCCAGAGCTTCCAGATTCCAGCTAATGAGCTTCTACTGCTAATTGCGCTAATGCCTCTCCCTGCTGCCTAGCACAGCTCCTGCCCCTCACCGACACGTCCCGCCTGACCACACGAGTTATCAGCCAGGACGAGCCGCTCCGGGCTGTGTCTGTTCAACCCCACATCACCTCTCCGACGGGAACTGAGGGGAGATTCAGGGGGTGAGGAGATGGATTACCCACGAGGTGGCACCAGGAGAACACGGCTGAGAGCAGCGGCGGGGCAGGAGAGCTGAGACTGCAACCATTAATTAAACGTGATAAGGGTCACAAACTGAACGGTCACGTCTTGTTTCCTCAGGCGCTGAGGGAAACTCCTCGGAGGGGGCTGGAGAGGGGGCACAGCAAGAACATGACTTGTCCAGAGCAGGGCTCTTAGGGCTCTACCTGTCATCCTTGGCACTACAGCCCTTCCACTTGTCTCACAGCAGGTGGTTTAAGAAGTCACCCCTCAAGGCTCTGCCCCTGACTCTGGTCTTCATAGCCCTGCTTCCTCTGCCAGTATCGCAGCAGAAGGGGCCTGATATTGCCCAAGTCCAGAGGAGCCCACCAAGGTGCTCAGAGGGATGGAGTACTTCTCTCATGAGAAAAAAACTGGGAGAAATGGGATCGTTCAGCCTGGAGAAGAGAAGGCTCTGGGGTGACCTAACTGTGGCCTCCCAGGACCTGAAGGAGCCAAGAAAGATGGAGAGAGACTGTTTAAAGGGCCTGGAGTGACAGGACAAGGGGAATGGCTTTAGACTGACAGAGAGTAGGTTTAGGTGTGGGTGGTGAGGGGGTGGGATGGAATTCCCAGAGAAGCTGTGTCTGTCCCACCCCTGGAAGTGTTCAAGGCCAGGTTGGGCAGGGCTTGGAGCAATCTGGGCTAGTGAAAGGTGTCCCTGCCCGTGGCAGGGAGTGGAATGGGATAAGCTTTAAGGTCCCTTCAAATCCAAACTATCCTGGGATTCTGTGATTCTGTGAATTTCTGCCTAATTCCAAGCTCAGAAGGCACATCCAAAGGGCTTTGTGATAAACACTAAGAAAACAGTCCTGGGGATACAAGAAGAGGCTTCACATGACAATGATTTTTAAGTTGTGTATTACTTGAAGTCCCTTTTCTCCAGAGTCACAACAACCTGACCCACAGCTCAGCTCAGGGAGACACTCACAGCAGTTATCACCAGTTCCTTCCGGGATGTTCAGCTGAGAGGGTTTTGCTCAGCAATGACACAACTGCTCTTTTATATCTATTTCCTGCCATAAACAACTCTGTCCAAAGCATTTCATAGGAACACGTTTTCTTTAGCAAACACACTGAAAGCGGGAAAACAGGATGAGAGCATAAACTGCCTGCAAATGATTAATGAGGCAGTAATAAGCTGAGGAGCGTTAGAGGGTTGCAGGCAATTCAGATAAGCACAAGGCACATGCCAAGCAGGGAGCATCACTCATGACACAGGGACAAAGCAGAGCCAGAATCAGGGCTTGGCTGAAAACTTGGCCAGTGGGGGACAACAAGAAACATCAGACAAAAGGCACAGGCAAGTCACCCCCACTCATTAAGGGGGCACAGAGCAAACAGACATGGAGCATGGATTGATCCCACCTAGTTTTAAACTTTTTAAGTTAGGATCATAGGTGTCTTTCTGGCTGTCCGAGCTTCCAACCTCTGCAAGATGGTTTCATATTGTTTTAATAATTAGGAACCAGGAAATTTTAAGATATTTTCCACTTTGGCCGTGGAAACTGACAGAGTAAATCTGAAGCTTCTAAAGCACTGTAATAGTGGCAGGTCTGTCTTCCACTTTCCCAGATCTTTTTAACAGCACGGAATGTGAAATGCAGAAGAAAATTATCCTATTTTTAAACATGAGCCTTGCAGTTCACCAGCCCACTTCCAGATGTTACTGCACTTTGAGTCATCCTTCTGCAGCTGAAAGATCTCCAGGCTCCTAAAATCTGGGGTCACCCAAAAGTCCATCAAGCCATGTCAGCAGAAACACAAGCGGGAGTGCTCAGGCACTTTGACGAAGTTTGCTTACGACAAAGCTTCTATGTCTCAGCAAATAAGAACAAGTTCTTCTCACCTCATCCCCCCACCAGCAAGTTCAGGAGATTAGAGCCTTCCTGAACTCCTTGCCCTCCTCAACTGCAGTTGTTTCATTTCTTTCTGTTGCTCCTCTGGGGGAAAGAGGGGCTGGGACATGGCAGCACAGACAGTTTGAGCATTCAAGTGCACTTGAGGCTACTAAAGTGGTACTCCATGTCTTCTGCTGGTAACACTGACCTAGTCCATCTTTTTGGGATTAGAGATCCTTCCTTTCCTTCTTTCACTCCTTTGCTCCATTCCTCCACAGGATTCTTGACGAGAAAACACTTGGATACCCCTCAAATAAGAAAACACTTGATTACCCCTGAAATAAAAAGGCAGAAAGAAATTAGAGGGATTTTGATCAGGCATTTTTTTTCATACAAGAAAAAAATTCATCAGACAAGATGAATATTCACAAAACCACTCAGGAAGGGCACTCCTGAGTGCATGAGGGTGTCCTGTGAACACCACGACAAAGAAGATGGTCCCCCCAAGACACTAACCTTGCTTTTAATTTCCAGAGCTTTCTCATGGACTCTCTGAGATCATCTGTGGGCCTCGGTCATGCTTCAGTTTGCACTGGAAGCCCTCTGATGACTGAAATCAACTAGGATAAAAGACATTATAAAGTCTTGATAATTACTGGACATTCATGACTCACATTAATAATCTCATTCTTCTCTTGGTGCTGTAGGGTAGTCAGTATTGCTAAACCAAGAGCAAATTTCCTATCCAGAGCACTCAAAATTGGTGCTACACTTGGTGATTGCTCTAGTCAAAGCACTGCATTCAGCAGTGCTGCATTCACCAATGTCACTAGTAGATAATTCCCCTAAGTCTGTAACTGTCTAGCAAAGCACTGTTTAGAGACCAATGAAAATGCTTTCAACAAAGAAAGTTCTAATTTCTAATTTAATAGCAATAGTAGTGCCTGGCTGTCACAGCTAATGCCATGGAGTCTGCTTCCCGACAGGAATTGCCCAGTGATGTTATCAGTCGTTGTAAACTGTCTTGGCTGGCAAGTTAATCATTAACTCAGGTCCCCATCTCATAAAAACATCGCATTGTAAGAGCACGACTCACTTAAGGCTGTCACTAATCAATCCTGCATACAGCAGGGATACAGCAACACATAAAAGGAGCCAGAGACTAGAGAAACCCTTCAGCCAGGGAAGACAGGCTTCAGGGAAGTGTATCTCCATGGAGAAATCCACTGACAAGCCAAACAGGGAAGAGGGATGGCCGGCTCTGCGAGTGCTGCAGACTGAGGAGGACGGTCCTGTGCCTGTGGCAGGAGGTGCTGCAGAAATGAGCAGGGCAGGACTCCTAACACAGAACACAAATCAAGGGATGAGAGTGGGATTCACAGAAGAGTGTATTAAAGAAATGGAGAGACCTTTAGGCACAGAGCAAGACAGTCATGCTGCCTTCAAACCAGCAATTTTGGAAGGAGACTGTCCACACTCAAAGCCTCTTGTTGTGCCAATGAGCACAGACTGTCCCAAAACGTGCACCCTGGAAATGAACCACCAGTGTTCAACCACATCCGTGGACTGGGATTGCCTGATCTGCTTCAACAAGTACAACATCTACAGAGTCCCAAAGCTCCTGGACTGCCAGCATGCCTTCTGTGCCGTCTGCCTCAAGCTTATTCTCAGGAAAGTGGAGAACACCTGGATCATCACCTGCCCTCTGTGCAGAAAACCCACCTTTGTGTCAGAAGGGCTCATCCGCACACTCCAGAATAAAGAAGACATTCTGGAGCAGATGGATAACCTTGAGTCAAATCCAGAGGTGCACATCCCTGCCATGGGGCTGGACAGCAAGAGCTGGACTCAGAGCAGCCCAGACATTTTAAACACAGAGGAGAATGTTCCAGCAGACACCAGCCTGGCTGTGCAGAGACTTGTGCTGCTGCTGCTGCTCGGGGTGATCCTTGCCATCCTCATCCTGCCCTTTATGTACTTGGGGACAGTCAAATGGGTAATTTGTCTCCTGCTTACTCTGGGGTTGGTCATGTCTATGGTACTTTGCTGCACTCCTAAATTCCACTGGAGGTGCAAAAGGGACTCGCCCACCTCCTGTGACAAGGAGACCCACGTCGTTACTGTTGCTTGAAACAGTCAATTAACGAGTGTGTCCCAGAGGTAACGGACTGGCCCTGCCTGCAGAGCTGCAGGTTGGGCATGCCAGTGAATTATGGACTTAATTATTCACAGAATAAATTCAGCAGCTTGCTAGGCTGGCTCAATGCCAAGGCACAGTGTTGTTAAATCTCATTACTGGAAACAAAAGTCAACTATTTATATGTTGATATTTATGTGTTTTCAATAGGATTTTTATCCCAGGCTAAAAAGTCCATTGGTTTGCTTTTGCCACTTTGTTCTTGTCCGTGTCCTCTCCTGTTTAGCCCTGCAGGATGTTATCTGGAACACTCAGGAGGTAATGTCCTGGAACAGCCCGTGGTTGTGTTTTCCTGCTCTCTGAACACAAGTACACCTTTTCTCAGGACAAAGTGGGGAAATCAGGCTGCTAAATCAGGGAGTGGGTGTTTGGAAGAGAATAGCTTTAACCCAGATTACTACCTTAATCCCTATCCCTGCCCAGGGGTTGCTGGCAGGGATGGGACAGGGATTGGGAAAGGGGGATGTCGGTGCCCTCTGAAGTTACACACAAAATCGTAAGAGGAAGAGGCAAAACCAACACTCCTAATATTGATCTGTGGCTTCCAAAGGGCAAAAAAACCTTGCGATGCTCCCAATTCCCCACATAAACAGTTCCTCTCACCTGAATTCCTTTATCTGGATCCCTGCACCACCTCTCTTCTTGTCCCCTCTTACATGAAATACCACGTTGCCCCTGAAGATGCTCACAGAGATAAACAGAAATCCAGTGATTGGTGTGTCATACCACATGTGATGTTTTTATATGGATTGTTTCCATTAAATTTAAATAATATTAATTGCTAATTGACTTCTGTGTTTCAATTCCTCACTGACATTTAATGTCAAAACAATTCCCATTTTCCTTATTGACAGGAATTGCGGCTGAGAAAGCATATTAGGGAGTCCGCACAGCTGAGGTAGTGAGTAAAGCAAAGCAATAATGTATCGGTTTGTTGCTTTATTAAAAAAAAAAGTTTAGTTGCTAAGAAAATACCCTGAAACCCAACTAAAATTAAACTGGGAAAAAAAATAGATTTCTCTAGTTAATCTGCATTTTTTAAAGTGCCATGGATCTCAGCAGACCTTGGATCAGGTAAATATTTGTGTTCGATAAGAATGGAAACTGATGTCCTGCAATTGCTCAGTATATAAATATACACAGTGTCTCACAGCAGATAAAACAGATTAGACTAAGAGGGTAGGAGCTCTTGTCCTCCTAAAGTTTTGGAAAACACAAGTCTGTTTTCTGCCTAAGAACCTTTGGGGGAAATAAATCTTTTGGGTTTTCTCATCAATTTGGACAGCAACAGGCTTATTGCAGAGTACATATGACATTTGCTAGTAACCAACCAGAAAAAAGCTTTTCCACTGGGAAAAGGCAGGTAGTTTTAAACCCAAATACCGTATTATTCCAAATATAAAGACTGGATCAGATATTTAGCTGCACTGAAAATAATTTCAGAAACCATGGGCGAGTCTTTGAGCCCAGACTGTCCTCAAGATGACAAACTGCTCTAGAACTATTAAATAATATCAATTAAAAATAATATAATTTTAAAAAGGGGGAATTTTGCCTAAGAGGGGAGGAGGCCAAGCAAGATATCAAACAACATCAACTCCAGAAGGGTTAAGCATCACATCCAGGATCAGTTTGCCACCATCAGTCAAAAAACATAATGAATATTTTATCAGCAGAAAGAAATGAAACCAGAGAATGAACACGAGCAGTAAAATCTATTTGTTATATTTCACTCTGCCCTTCCAAAAGGGTGTGTTCAGTTTTATTACACTAATTTCTACAGAGCCAAAAAAAAAAGTCAAACAGGAAAGGGTTTCCCTCAAGGCAGTGTACAGCAGTGGGAAGGCAGCATGGATGCTCTGTGATTTCCAGGGAGAGACTGGCCCTCTGAAAGAATTCCTACGGATCCACACAGTTATGGATCGGCACCTTCCAAGCCTTTCTTCGGCAGTTCAACCTCAATGTTTATGGAGAAAAGGCCAATGGAATTATAGTCCTATTCCAAAATGTAAAGGATTTCCTTGTACTCAGGTTTAAGTTGTAGTGGTCAAGGAAGGTTCGGCTCCAAGTTCCCTTGCTCTCCTTACCTTACCTAGGTGGCCCCAGATTTCAGATAGTAACTGGGTAACATAGTCTAGCCTGAGCGAATTATAATGAGAAATGGGCCCAGGCAGCATCCCCTCAGCCCCTGCCATCCCCCAGTCCCTCACCATCCCCTCGGCCTCCCCCATCCCCTCATCCCCTCATCCCGCTCCATCCCCTCATCCCAGCGCAGTTCCCTCACACCACACACCCCCGTACGCCGATGGCAGTGCCGGCGGGAAGGGCGGGCCGGGCCGGGCAGGAAGGGGCGGGCGGCGGCAGCGGCTGGAAGGCGGAGGCCGTTCCCGGTGCTCGGTTGTGGGGCCTGCGACAGGTCGGGGCCGGGCCGGGCAGGGGAAGAGGGTCTGGGAACAACCGGGACAGCGCCGCGGGCTGGGGGGGCGAGCGGGCGGGACCTTCCCTTCAGGCCGCCCTGCTCTGTGCGCTGTTTTCCCCTCAGCCGTGGTCCCAAGTGCTGCTTTCTTTCTAAAAATGTGCCCGCATTCTCTCAGCAGAGGTTTCAGACACAAGGACTGGTAGCTGTGGATGTGTCTGCCCTCACAGCCTTCCCAGCTGAAGTGGTTCCCTCACACTTTCTACTGTTTCCTCTGCTGTTCCCTCTCTGCAGCTTTGCCCCCTTCGGTGTGAGGACATTGCTTCACCGTCGCTGCTGTGCAAACCTCTGGATTAACCGAATTAAACATGTTTAGTTCTGCAACTGCTTAAGCTTTTGGCTTTTCCAAGTCCCCCATCGCCTCTGCCCCTGATCTTTATGGCCGTCCATATTGCATTCATGTCATTGCATTGAGACAGGACTGCATTCACTGTATTCTGTGTTCATACCTCATATCTGTGGATTAAAAGCAGAGGCCATGGTGCTCGCAGTGTGTCAGCTCTAGAGCCCTGCACTAGTCCCCAAAAAACCTCATCTGCCCAGATGTTTCCACAGGCACAGCACTGTGTGGCATGTGTAACCCCAGTTGGGCTGTTCTGTCCTCCTGTGTACCTCATATGGGACTTTTTGGACAGCCCTGTCTGAATAATTATCTACAACTACCTCTCTGAAGTTAATGAGATGTCTCATTAAGTTTTGAGGGTGTTGGAGGTGAACATGCCAGTGCTTTGGTCACTGTTGTCATAGTTTAGGACGAACACAGTGCCACCATCTCTGTTTCTTCTTCCAGCAGTAGAAAACGAGTGTATTGTACAGCTTTAGATCCCCAAAAGAATTATCTTTCTGCTTTCCAAACAGGATTGTATGAGCTGCTGTATAAAACACATTATTTTCTCAAGACAAAGGGCTTTGTGTGAAAAGCGAGTGCTGGAAGTGATAACAAAATTCTCTTTCAAGTGACAGTTCAGATTATGGCAATGCTGTTGATTGCTAAATTCCATTGTTCAAGGCAGGGATGTGAATTCCAGTGCCATGAGCCGTAAATAGCTTTTGGGCTATGTTTCTACCTCTCAATTGCCTTGTCTTGGACTAGTGGAAAAACTTCTTGGCCCACATTTTCATTCGTAAATTGCATGTTACCCTTTTTTTACGCTGCATGTCTGAAAATCCAAGCCCATTTTTTCCCAGGTATTAATGAGGAAATAGATTCCTGTGTTGAGAGAAACACATTGAGGGTACTAGTCTGAGGATCTTCAGAGAAGTGTCTTCCAGAAGCTTTCTCTGGGTATTTTAGATGCTCGGTACTGATTTATTTGTTGCATGCCAGCAGCCACTGTGGCATTGCTCCATTATTGCTCCATGTTTTATGTTATTGGGAAATTAGGTTAAACAGTTATGCTGCTCATGGATCCTTTTTAGCTGATTCATTTCTTGGATGAGCCTGAGTTAAGAAGTCAATAAATATCTTAGGGAAGAGGATTTTATTTTCAATGCTGTTTCTCATAATGTGTCTAGAGGTGAGCAAACATGCCAAGTAGTTGTAAAATTACTGGGATTTTAGCATTGGATCATTCCTGGGAAAATTGGTCTGAAAGTTTGGATGTCTTAGGAAGATCAGAGCCTAGTAAGAGATGGATTTCGGGGGTCTAATGGAGGAGCATTTGGAGCTCCTGTGGTAATAAAACAATCTTGGGATAAGAAAGTCTTGAAAAGCTGGAGGTATGTTCACAGCTGGGTTCGGTGAGTGTACATACTGATGTGTGGTGTGGCTGGTATTGGAGTGGGTCTGGCAGGCTAGGATTGATCCCAGGCCCCTGCTTACCTCAGGGAAGTATAACCTGGCCCTTCCTTTATCTGGTTGATTTGGAAATAACAGTTAGTTTATTCCTGTGGGTTTTGTGCTAGAATGTGATGTTTTCATGGGAACAGGTGGAGATGCCATAGCATGGTGTGCTGGAGCCAGAGGCTGCACCTGGAGTGTGTGTTGGGCTGAGCTCTTCCAGGGAAAGAGGTGTGAGTTACAATAACCATTGACCCATTGGTAATGAGTTTTTCTTGCATTTACACACCAGCAGTTAAACTGTGCAAGCCTTGAGAAATACAAATCACCTCCAATAAATTTCTGAGCTGGAATGCAAGACAGACAGCTTTCCTGGAGGACCATGACAGATGGCACTCAGATAATAAAATCTCTTTAAAAAGAGGTGCTCTTGTTGCATTTCTTACTTTTAGAACTCTAAATCTATTCATAAATGGTGTCTGCATCCTCTGAGAGTAGGCTGTAGTATCGTGGGCTCCTCATTCCTATTTAGTCAGGGTGTGGAAGAAAGGAAACATTTAAATACGAAGTATATAATAAAATAGATTATATGTCCCCTTAGAAACCAATTGAAATCAGAAAATTTGAGGTGATGGAAGTGGTCTTTGGAGCAGATTGTTACCCAGGTTGAATTGTGAAATGAGCTGTTGTCACCTTTGCCTGAGGTCAGTCATCTCAGCTGCTGGTACCATGAGGGGAGCACTGGAAGCCCTTCATCAGGAAATATGCACATCTACACTATAAACTAATAAAATTTTGGCCCAGCTCGAGGTCCGTGTAGGGCAGGGACCTTATTTTTAGGGAAAAAACCGTGGCAGGTTGAATAGAGGAAAGAATGTTACAAGCAAAGCGCAGCAATGTCCATGGGACACATTGAAGTCCTTCTCAGGGACTGCAGCTGAACTCAACTTTCCTAATGCTGTCAGCAAAACAAACAGAGGAGTAATTTGGGCTGAGATGAGGGAGGCAAATTATTTCCCAGGCAGCTGTACTGGTCCCTGCACCAGGCGCAGAGCTTTTATTTTCATGTTCTTCTTGCACTAAATGTGTGAATTGTGTGCCTGAATGGAGCCCATCTTGAAGGGGACTTCTCCTTTTGCTGGTAGAAGTATTGTCAGCTCATTTTGTGCAAAACTTTTGAGAACTGGTGAACAGAAAGTGTCGTCTTGTTTGGTCACAGCAGTGTGTTGAGATGAGGGGGAATATACAAGTTGGGCCTGAACAAACTTGATTTAATACTGACAGCAAGTGTGACAGTGAAAAAAACAAAGCCAGTTTGTCTCTTTGCTCTCTGGTTTCCAAATGTTTGTTGTTGGATTTTTTCTACAGCTGTTTCCTCTTTGAACTTGCAAGTGAAAATGGCTGCAGAAGAGAAGTGGAAAAGTTGGATTTCAAAACAGCATAAGGAGGCTGAGCAGGCAGGGGATAAGGAGCCATGTGTGCTCCTGGGTCAGCAGCTGGGAGAGCTGGGAAGATTTGCCTATGCAGCACTTTGTGGTGTATCTCTTGCCTTGCTGTTCCCTGAAAATGAGCAAAGGTACTGCATGTGGGAGCAAGGGGTGGGCAGGGGAGGTGGAATTTGGGTGGCAGCTCAAACAGAGCTGGTATCAAACTCTGTGTGGGGTCTTCTAAAGTTTGGGGAGTGGAAGATCTTTTTTCTCTTACACCTGTAAGACTTTTATAATTCAACACAAATCCTTTAGCATCAAAGCATGTACTGAAGCAAGGTCTGGCCCTGTTCAGATTGTTTCCTTGTTTGTTTAGCAATTCATTTTTCTGTTAGCTCCTTCTGATGCTTTGATTTTTGTGTGAACAGTAACAGAACAAAGTCTGAAACCAGGGACTGCGCAAAGCTTCCAAAAATACCCAGTTGTAGAGCCTCGAAATATCCAGTTGTGAAGCCTTAATTGCTCCTATTGCTTTTACAGCTCCTTCAGGACAGAATTTATTGAGGGCTTTGTGAAATGGCTGGACATGCCCGTCACTGTCCTGCCTGCCATGACAGCCTTTGCTGGTGGCTTAGGAGGTGAGGGCACAGAAACTTTCATGGAGATTTTGCTGAAGGATCCCATCCTGGAAGAAAATCCAACCATCATTATCCAGGTATGTCTCCATGTTCTCCTTGCTGTTGTTTGCTTGGCAAAAGAGATTTGTCAGACCTGTCTGTTTGCAGCTGAAGTGCTGTTTGTGCAGTCGGGAGGAAAATCAGTGTTTCTGATAGGCATCTGTTTCTGAGTGGCTGCAGCAGGGGACTGACAGTCTATCCATAAAGAGCTCATGGAAGTATTGAACATAAGGCAAGGTCACTCTCTGCTCATTAATGTTTTGTGTCTAGAGCAGAGAATTGACGAACTTTTTCACTGACTATTATTGCAGTGGTTTGGATTCATATGTGCTTTATACAGGTTTTAGTGGCACAATGAACATGATAAACCTGATTTTTACTTGTTTAAAAGCCCCTTCACCATATCTGTAATGCAAAAACCATTCTCCAAGGAGCACAATTTCCAGAGTAAGCTTTGACCAGAAGGAATTATTGTGACTTTATTTTTTCTCACTGAGAGAGTGAGACTGGGACTGCTCCATAATGTCCTACTGTAAAAGCTGATGTAAAGATAAAAGAGGTGAAGCATTTGGGCAGCGTTCACTTTTGCTGAGGAAGATTTCTCCTGATCCAGCCTCTCGTCATGCTGTGCTGCTGCTGCTGCTGCCACACAGGACGTGGGCACTGTCAGCTGGCACCCTGTGCCACACACCCTGTGTGCTGTGTGCTGTGCTCTGGTATCGACTGGATAATGGTTATCACACACTCACCCTGAGCACCCAGAACCACAGATATGAGGAGAGGGCTGTGTGAGGGAAGATATGACTGCAGGGAACTTTCTTGGTCCCCACAACCAGCTACCACTACCTTGGCATCTTTCCTGTTCCCTAGTCAGTCCATGAAATGCCTCAGAGTGTTGGAAATTATATCTTTTCTAATTCATTTTCCTAATTAATGGTTTTAATTAACTTCTTAATTAACTGATTTAATTACTCATAAGCAGTGTAATTTCCAACTTTAGCCAGCACATAACTTAGGGTTTTTTTCACAGGCTAGTGTTGTTAGAGTGAGATTGGAAAAATCACCAAAACTTTTAAGTTATGCTAAACTAAACCTGCTAAACTTCAGTGAACAAAGCCCAGGGGAGCTGAAAACTGGACACCTGGAATCCAAAGTTTATGGCCCTCCAAGTAACCAGAAGATAAAGAAGAGACTAACAAAAATTGTTTATCATGTTCTGGAAACTCCCCATCTGGGAAAAGTTAATAAAAAGACTGAAAGTGTGGACTAATTACCATGAGAAGTGAGAAATCAATAATCAGTAGAAGACTGAATATTAATTAATGAGGAAAATTATGTACTTGAGAACCAATTAACATTAATTTCTTTGCTAAAAATGTATAAATAAGTGAATAGTTTTTGAAGCTGTGTGCATGTAGGTGGAGCTATCCCGTATGCACCCTGAAATAAAGTAATGCCTACTTTCTAATACAAAAAAATAAAGAGTTTGATTTAACCCAATGCTTTCAGTGACAAGAGGATCTGCTCCAAACATCCAAATGCTCCAGTGCTCAAGGTCCTATGAGTACAGCAACAGATCCTAAGCTTAGTTAATAACCTAGGGCAGATCTTCTAAAATGACAACAGCTGCTTTGATGTTGTTTGCTCAAAATCAATACACCTGCAGTTGTTCCTTCTGCCTTTGTCTGTTTCCCTCATTCTGTCTGCTTCAGGATGGATTCCCTAGATTTAGACAAGTTTTCCTTCATGGCTGCTGAGTTTGTTAAGGGTGAAATTTAGCTTTTGCGTGCTTCCAGCTTATGTTGCATAAGGGCTCCATGTGCTTTTACAAAAGTGGCTCTGGATCAGCAGCAGCGAAAACTGGGGACATCACCTGGATTCAAGTGGAACACAGAAATCACAGATAAGTTCTTTGATCAGCTGAAAGAAAAGATGAGGAACAATTATCAGTCTAATGCCCCAACATCAATACCTTACACAGTAATCTACATGGACAAGAGGATTGATTTTTGTCTGAGGAACAACTGACTTAAAGACTTTAGCAGAGCAAGGCAGCAGAGGTGTGTCTTTGAAAAAACACACTGGGGTGTGAGAAAGATTGGTAAAAAGCTGAGATCAGCTTTTTCCTTCTGACCTGAAAATAAACAAACCATGGGACAAAGCTTTATGAATTATTGATCTGTTCCTTTATGGTGCTTGTGTTTCTTTGTATTCAGCTGCTGATGATGCAATATTTACTGTTTATTTATTAAGTATCTGCTTTAATTGCCTGGCATGATCAGGGCTTGGCCCTGTTGACTGCATTTTTGAAGGCCTTTCATCTCTAAGGAGCTGAAGGGATGATCCTGAAGTAAGAGATGAGCTCACCCTTGATTCAGTGAACATCTGAGGATTATGGACTGTTATTTTCGTGTTCATTGCAGATGACTAACAAAGGCAGATGTTGGTAACAATCCTTAAAGGACAGTAGACATAACAGGTTGTGGGTGTGGTATGGGAAGGCAGTGCAATAAAGGAGGTGAAGAAGTGTTGATAGGTGATAAAACGTTGAATATTCTTATTATGAATGGGTTTTTTTGCTCTGAACATAACTTAGAATGCTCATTTTCTATGGTTTTCCACACACATCCTCTGTGATGTGGAGCCGGTGCTCTCTGTTGTTGAGGGAATGGGTTTTGAATTTGCAGCAGCTCAGAAGAAGCTGACAAGACTGAATAAAGGGTGCTTCCCTTCCTTGGAGAGGCTTCTCAAGCATATAGGGGGTTGTCTTTTGCATGGAATTTGCAGAGAGATTCAAAACACCAACTTCAAAATAAGACTGAATTATATTAACTGCTGCTTAGAGGAGGAAAACAAACCACTTGTGAACTAATCTAATCAATTTTGGTTGGATTCCAGCTGCCTGCATGTGCAGTACGTGCAAAACCTAAAGTGGAGAATTTGAGAAAGCCAATTGGCACAGATGTCATAAAAACAGTAATTCCAGTTTGTCACCTGATTACCTGGGTGCACTCCTGAGCTTTTGAATTGCACGTGTGTATATGCTTAGGCCAGATTTATTTGAGTTGGATTGATATGAAGTGCCACAGATGATACTGGGGCCTGAGTCACAGCCACAGCTCCCTGTGCCTCAGGCAGGGAGAGTTTATTGCCTACAGGTCCCACCAGCCTGGTGTGTAGAACTCACATGTGCAGAACTTTCAGATTAGAGATGTTTTTATGATATAAATTGTATTTAGGAGCTTAGGGGACTAATAATCGTAAACTCTTTGGAAGCCTCCTACATTTTTGGCTGAATTTTTTTGCATTCCCAGAGGGCTGAAGGATTCCCTGTAAAATTCAGCTGTGCTGTATTTGTGTGTAGGAGAGGGAAGCAGCTACACTGAGCTAGTGTTTAGTGTAGTCACATAAAGAGCTTAAAATTTGTCCAGTGGCAATAAAAAAGAGAACACAGCAGTAAAAACACTTCCCTCTTTTTCATAGATTTATCCATAGAAACCATGTATTGAATTGATTTGTTTTTCTGTATTTTTATGCTGAAGAGCCAACACAGAAGTCAAATCTCTCCATCTTGACAGAGGACCATAAATTTTGAGGTTTTTATGTGAGCACTTAATCCGAAAGAACTTTATGCTAGTTCAGCCTTACTGCCTAGAGCTGTGAATTCCCAGAATGCTGAAGAAAATAGGGGCCACTGGTCCATTAGAGGAACATTCAAACCTGTTACTCATGTTGAAAATGGGAGTATATGTGAGTGCATGGGGAGCAGAAGGCATTAGAGAGGGATTATTAGGGCCCTGTTTCTCCAGACTTGGAAGTCTGGTGTCAGATCAGGATAATTAATAACAAAAAGTATGGGATGTTTCAGCATATACAGAGCATTGTCTACTTTTGCCCAGCCCTTTATACTGGCCTTTGGAGAATTTTATACTGGTTTTGCTCTGTGCTACCTCACTGAATTGTAGCTTTCTGGCTTCCCACGTTTATGAACTGAGATGCTTCAGTAATTAAATCAGTCTGATGGCTTTTCATGCCTCCATTTTGATCCCTCCAGGCCTTCATCATCAGTTTTAACTTGAATATTCTTTTATTTTCTTTTTAGGACCTTCTATCCTTCTCTCTTCGAGATGGTAAGTTTAATTTAACATTTGTTCTTTGTAAAGATAATATGGATGAGTTTATATCTGGCACTTTAAAAAGCTCAAAAAGCCGACGGTACCACCCTATATTTCATCTCAGCTTCCTCTCTGGCAAAAGCAGCACACTCCTTCCCTTCATCCTCCTCAGGAAAAACAACTATTAAGATGGGTTAATAATACCCTCTGAAAAGTGAACAACTATTCACCTCCTTGCCTTCACATGCAAACAGATGTAAAGTGATGGTGGAGTGGGTTGGTTTTTCTCCTGTGGTTCCAGGGAAACAGGTGACCTCTTCCTTTAGGAAGGCAGTAAAGCTGTTAGGAAAATCTCAGCCTACAAATATTCTGTGTGTTGCCTAAAATAAGAAAAAAAAAAAAAAAATCACCAGGGTATAAATTCCAGAGTGTCCTGTGAAGCCCATTATAAATAAATGGGATTTTACTCATATATTATATGACACATAAAACAATTTTCTGGTTTGCAATCCATAACATGGATTAGTCTGATAAAATTAATGAAATAAAGACTGCCTACTGAACAAAATGTTAATTTCTAAAAGAAGCCTGGTTTCTATCACTGCTTGCATTTTTTAAATCTCTGTTTTAACATGTTCTTACAAGAAAAAACTGATCAGCCTGTTGCACTGAAGAACAGTGAAATAAAACAAAACAGGTTTTGTTCTTGCTTTATTTTTAATGGAAAATTGACAAATCAGTTATTGCAAAACTGCTTATTTTGCTAAGCTGGAATTTAAAAGGAATATATTTCCAAGCCTCTGTGACTTAATGCCTTGGAAAGAGCTCAGCAGTGTTTTAGCAGCCAGGAAACAAGAAAGGGACTTGTTAAAACACCTGCTCGGACTTGCAGGATGTGGCAAATATCATGAAGGAATGAAGATAAATCCAGTCCTTGTTTCTCAACTAAGCACAAATCTGAGGAGTGGTGTCATTAAAGGCCACTGAATGAGTGTGGTATCTTGGTAATGGTGGTAATAAATAAACAAACCTAATAGATTGCCCAATGCCATATTTGATCTACGTGCAGTGGGGATCACAAACATCTTTTGTAGTTGGGTCTTGCTGGGATCTTCACCCACCCTGGGACAAGCAATTGTATTTTCCATCCCAGAGTGCACCAAGAACCCTTTACAGAAGCCAAACATCAGGAGGCAGCAGGTGCTGCTGAGAAAAGCACATTAAAAAAGAAAGAGTTGGCACAAATAATTTAAAATCTATTACATTTAACATGTCTTTTCTTGAAGAACACCTGCTTACAAGCCCAGGAGTAATCAGTTCTGCTCTCTGGTGTTATCTGAGTTCACTGTCCATTCCTCCGTCTGCAACAAGAAGCAAAAAAGCAAGCAATTGTCAGTAGTGCTGCTGGGGGAGCTGGTGTGTAGTTTTGCATTCCAGAGTCAGTTGCCAAGAAGATGAATTGAATATAAAGCTTTTCCATGGAGGTGCATTTTTACAAAATGCTACCTCTTGCATTGGTGCGGTCAGGGTGTGCTGTGTCCAGTTACCCACAGGGATATGTTTGATATTTCCAATTAGCACTGGTTGTGCTGCAGCATTTATCTGTTGACAAGATGCACCTTTTCCAGAGCCAAAAGGCCTCTGTCACGGAGGATGGAGATGGAAGGATTTGAGATCCTGCCATAGAGGCATTACCTGATGTGATGTCTTTATTCTCAGGGAAAAAGGATTTTCCGTTTATCACTCTCTTCTCATGTTCCAATACATGGAAAAAGAAAAGAAAATGGGAGAAGAAGCCAGGCTTGTCTGTGACATGTTCCCCCAGCCCAGATGAGTGCTCTGCTCCCTGTTTAATCTGGTGTGATCAGACTGACTGATTTCCTGGGCTTCCCTCTGTTCAAGGGTACTATGATGCTCGAGCCAGGGTATTGATCTGCCACATCAGCCTCCTGCTGAAAATCTCCTTGGAGGAGCTGGAAGTCCTGGAGGAATCTCTGCTTGAGAGCCTGAAGGACCAAAAAGATGAAGAGTCAGAGTAAGACATTTGGGTTGGCTGTGGGATCAAAAAATGCTGCCAGTGCTTGAAAGCTTAGCAGTAATTACTTGTGCCTAAGTCCAGTCTCTGATTATTCCCCCCATGGTTCTTACTGTAATCATTTATGGCTTGATTAGGGTTACAGCCCCCTCCCAGCACTGAGAAGCAGAAAAGCTCAGCATTCTTAAGGCTGAGACCCAGCCTTGCAAGGTGGTAAAAGCTGCTCCATACTGAACTGACTCCTTTCCTTGTTCCAGTTGCCTTTCAGACACTGTAGATTTTGCTTAAATCCATCATAAATATTTTGTGTCTCTTATCTCTTGCCCAGTATCCTTCAGAGAGGACTGCCCTTGCAGAATGAAGTTCCTAGAAATATCAGGATTAGATCCTCAGCTGCCCATTTTCTATAGATCTATCCATCTGTGCCTGTTTGGGAGACAATGGGATAACTCCTATTGAAGGGAGATTTCTAAGGAAAACAGTCTGTATCTTCAGATACATACGGACCCAAATCCTAATTCTGTGTTATTAATATAAGACTAATTCTCTTAATCACCACTACTTAGATGTGAAACAGCCGAAAAGTTGATATCTGTAAGAAATGTAGCATCTTTATATTCTGCTTATCAGGCAGGAATTGTGAGGCAGTTTAGCACTATCTAAGGCAGTAAACGTGTCCGTAGTGGACTTTCCAGGGAAATATTTTTATCTGTCAACTCAGCAAAAGGGTTATGAGGTTAACCTGAGTGCTAATGAAGGCTTTAATTGACACCCGTGACATGGTCCACCTCAGATGTTACCGTAGGGTCCAGATTGTGATGGGTATCTTTTATTTATAGCTGTATTTAAAGAAAGCTTAACTTTATAGCACACTGTAAAAAGGGAAAGTCAAAATAATCTCAAAGATCACGGACTGCTAAACACTTGACATGCAGGAGCAAGGGTTGGTGTATTAATGGGGGCTGTTTTGCTGTGGCTTGTGAAAACAGACTCAGTCCTGGGCCTTTAGACTGTGTCTGATAATGGTGAGAGAATTATGTTGCATATGAATAGTGTGGCTTTCCAACCCTGCCACCAGCCCAGTGGGGTTCCTGTGTGTCTGCTGTAGAGAAAGCCATGGATTTCAATCTTCTTCTTTGCCCAAATCACAGCCATGGAAGTAAATATCTATTAAGATGAGAGGAAAAAGAAAAATCTTTATAGTAAGAGGAGTCCAAGACTTTGGTGTGAACACATTCATTACTGCAGTGCTAAACCAGGGCTGAGATTTGTGGGGAATAGATGACCCTTTGTTTGGTTTAAAGTCAGGAGTCAATGGGGAAAGGAAGCAGAATATAAACCTGTCACCACCTTGACCTCACAGATTTTTGGGGCTGGGAATACCAATCTGTGCCTGGGATGTTTCCAGTTTTGACCATCCACTGGAACAGAAACAACCAAATAGAGGTATGGTGTTGGGGAGCCCAGCTGGTTCTGGGCTCTCTGTAAACTGAGATACCGAAGATGGAACTTCTCACACCTGGCAGAGGGTTAACCACGGACAGTAGGAGAGTAACACAGAATGGGTTTCCTGTTAGGAATGTTAACCTGTTGTGTTAGGACATGTGTGGCTGTGTCCAATGATGAGTTGTAATGTTAGTGGTAAACCAATGCTGTGTATAGGTGTGTCACCCAGAACTGTATAAAGGTAGATACACTGTAGCAATAGAGCAAGCTGGTATCCTGAAACCGTGTCACTATCCCGCCTTGACGGCGACAGTATGGCAGCTCCTACATAGGTGTTTTTACTGGTATTTGTTTAATAGGAGGGTTTGCTCCTGCCTTTGCTGCTGTGGATGTGTTGGATTGAGGCCTGGAACCTGCAAGATTAAATATACAACCCTCTACAGAACAATGCTCCAACCACTTAAATCCATGTTACTTGCACCAAGCATGTTCTGACCTGCAGGTGTGAACGTTTCTTTTGTTCTGTACAAAACTGGAAAACATCACGGCAGTTGCTTGTTAATGTGTGCTCCTGCCACTTTTCCTTACTGCAAAATGACCATTAAACAATCTCTCAGAACATAATTTGTGGTTCAGGCAAGAAGCTGCACATCTGAACTCACTGAGGGTAGAGAAGTACCAGAAGCAGCAGTTAATTACCGCAGTGGATAAAAGCAGTCTGTAATCCAGTGATAATGCTGATGGAGAAGCCAGTAGGAAGCAGCTGTCAGACACATTTCTGGCAGCTCCAGAAGGGAAGCAGTGACAGGTAGAACTTCTCCTGACAGTAGTTTTATTTACCGCATCACCAAGCAGGATTTAGCTTCCGCTGTCTCTCTTCCCACATAACTCAAACTGCTCATTATTATAACTGAATTCAGTTTAGACATATTCCAGCTCTCTGGTGATCATTATTTTCAGCCTGAGACACAGCAGAGTGACTGTAAAAGCTGATGAATCACATGAAGAATAGAAATTGCTGGGTATTGCCAGCTTAGGTATGGACAGTCCAACTGCAGCACTCGTGTAAACAACTCCAGGAGCAGTTTTATCCAAAGCCAGGCATTCAGATTGGTGGCTGAGGCTCAAAGTAGGGCATTTGACAGGATGAGAGAAAATGGCCTCAGGCTGTGCCAGGGGAGGTTCAGGTTGGACATCAGGAGGAATTTCTTCCTGGAAAGGGTGATCAGGCATTGGAAGGGGCTGCCCAGGGAGATTTGGAGCCCCCACCCCTGGAGGTGTCCAGGGAGGGACTGGACGTGGCACTCAGTGCTCTGGGCTGGGGACAAGGTGGGGATGGAGCACAGGGTGGACTCCATGGACAGAGAGGACTTTTCCAAACTAAATGATTCTGTGTTTCTCTGAAGGCCAAAGAATGTTTTGTCCACCCTGGTCATAACAGAAATTGCTGCAGAGGTTGTGCTATGCAGACAGTACATTTGCAGCTGTGGAAGGTAACACACAGAGTTTTTTTGGAGGATCTCTGTGGAGACAAAGTCTCTGTGCCATGCAAGTCTGTAGGAGCTCTGCCAGTGACTCCAGTGACTCAGGGATTTCATCCACTGAGCTCCATTCCCCTCCTGCTGTGTTTCACAAAGCCACATATTGTTTGGGACTCATGTAAAATTGCCTTTATCAAAATAACAGTGTGCATAGGGGGTTCCAGGAAGGATTAGGCAATTGTATGGATAATGAAAATCCACAATTAGGCTGGAATTAACAGGGAAAATATCCAATTTTGGAAGCAAGATAAATTCTCACGTTTCAAGGCCTGGATTAACCACCAGGAGGAACCTTCCTCTGCAGACAACTTATTCCAGTATCCTCTGTTTCTCCTGCTTTCCTCTGAAGTTGAAGCATTTCTTGTAAGAGGGAAAGCGAAGACAGCGGAGAGAAAAGTAGTGATATTTGTTCCTTTTAGGCTTATTTACCTCCTTCTTATAAGCTTGTTAAAATGTAGCTTAAATGCACACAGGCAAATGAACTAATGACTGTGTTTAATTCCTATTATATGATTATATTGCTATGTGCAATTAGAAAGCAGCTCAATATAAACACTGAGCTGGAAAATAGTTGGAAAATAGTTTCACTGCATCTCTGTTTTTTAGCACAGATTACCTCAATTCCCTTTTGTTTCAAACACTTCCCTGTTTCTCCTCAGCTCTCCTGCAGTTTTTTAGGACACGTAGGCAGCGCATAGTTAATGAAATGCTTTTGACTTTTTGTTTCTTTTCTTTTTACAAGCTTCAGCCCTATTAGGAAGGGTTTTCCAAGTAAGTAACATCTGTTGGCTTTTGTCAGCAATTAAATCGTTTCAATTTAAACCTGTGGTCCATTTAATCCATTCAATTTAAATCTCTAAATCCATGCTCATAAATCTCAGTGTGTTGTCACAGTCCACACCTGCATGTTCCTTTTTACTGTTCCCAGGGGGGAAATTACACCGAGGAGAATAAAGGCAGATTCTGGTGCAGAACTATCCATCAGGCTTTTCCCTCAGTTTTTGTGCTTCTTAATCTCTCCACAGAACCGCAGAAGTCTCAAGAAAAAAGAAGGAAAGAAGGAAAAATCTGAAGAGGTACCTACTGATCGGTCTGGCAACCGTTGGTGGTGGAACAGTGATAGGTGAGGCTGGTCTTGGTGTTTTGGGGACACAGCACAAGGGACAGGGCAGGTCTGGATCCCAGAAAAGTATTTTCAACCGCTTGGAAATAGAACTGAAAGAATTAGATGGGAAAATTATTCCAGTGTAGCTTCACTGGCTGGGGGAAATATTAAACTGCAGTGGTCACCCTTAAAAATGTTTTCTCCTCTTTTGCTCTCCTCTTATAAGAGGATCAGATCTTCAACTCTCAAATCAAAAGTGATTAGATCAGTGTTTCCTGAGAAAAAACAGCTCACCCCAGTATACTACACAGTCTTCTTTTGACTTTGAAATTGTTCTTTGTTTTTACTTAAGTCAGAGAATTTGGGCAGATTCAGGGCTTGGGGAGAGTCTCAGAAAGTCCCTTTATTGGGGATGTAAAAAGTCCATTATTTGTGCTCTTCCAGTAGCATTAGCAGCATCCATCCAGCACAGGGAACTGCCTGCCTGGGTTTTGTAAGGGATAATAGTTTGGTGACATCCCTTGTTTCATCCTCAGGTTTGACAGGGGGTCTGGCTGCCCCTCTGGTTGCTGCAGGAGCTGCCACAATCATTGGGAGTGCTGGAGCAGCTGCTTTGGGATCGACTGCTGGGATTGCTGTCATGGCATCCCTTTTTGGAGCAGCAGGAGCTGGTCTTACTGGTAAAAGAATGACCACTTAGTTCTCAGCCACTAAGGCACAGGATCATATCTGATAATGCACAGTTAATGACTTCACTGAGCTCTACAGAGCAAGGGAGGTGATTTGAGGTGTCATCTTAACTGGGAAATTTTTATTTCAGCGCTGATTAAGGTGCTGTGTGGCCCCTGGTGACCAAATAGGGAAAGAATATTTGGTGTGTGGTTAATGAAAGAAATTAGAGTTACTGCTTTGGGTTAGAAAGATGCTGCCATGGACACCAGCAGTTGTTACAGCAGAAAAACCCTCCTGCTGGATTCCCTCAGATCACACAAGCTCAGAAGGATCATGTTGGCTCCTTACCAAGCTCGAAGTACTGCACTGAATGGCTGGGGGTTTGGGGAAAGAAAAAGGCCTATTGAAATTACCCAGTTAATTTCTTAGGAACTTCTGCTGTTGGCAGAGTGTGTCCTAGCTGTGCCATTTCTGAGCCACGTGTTTCTGCCTGGCTGTGTGTAGGATACAAGATGAAGAAACGTGTGGGAGCCATAGAAGAGTTTGAATTCCTCCCACTTACTGAAGGGAAGCAGCTTCATATCACCATAGCAATTACTGGATGGCTGTGTGCTGGCAAATATGGTAAGAACATGGTGAGGAAACTGAGAGGAACCTGGAAAGATGGGACTGTGTTCCAGTCCAGGCTGTGTTTGTGCCTGCAGAGCCCCATGACCTACCCCACATTTCCGTGACCTGGTAACTAAACCACATCACTTCTCACCCTAAGACTTTGTAACCAATCTGCAATCCCAGGGAAACAGAGGAAAGAGAGAGAGCATGGAAATGGTAGTGATAGGATTGTTTCTGTTAGTAACTGTTGCATGGTTTGCTAGGAAAGGTCTATTTGGGAGATGATTTCCAGCACTAGGACCAAGCGTCTCTGAGACCCTATGTTTATCCTCCAGCAATTAACAGAAAATAGTGGGGTTTCTCTCTCTGTATCAGGCAACTAATGAGGTTTATTGGCAAGAAAGTTCTGCCAAGTAAATCCTGTTAAGCTCAGCACTCAAAGGTGACTTCCAGGCAGTGACCTTGAAAGGTCTGTAGTGTTTTATTTTCCAGTGTAGCTTGTCATAAAAAATATGTCACCTGTCTGCCAATGTGTTCAGCAACCTGACAGAACAGCTGCCAATTTATTGAGAAGCATCATAATTAAACTGGATATCATTAATGCAGCAGGATGTCTCTGCCCTGTAACTTGTCAGGGTGCAGCTTTGCTGTCACAGGGAGGTTATTTTCACTAGCAATGCTGTGTTTTGGCTTCTCTCATTGTCTGCTTGCCAGGGATCCAAATCCTCAGGGCTGTAGGGGTCCCAGGCACTGTTAGAGAGGCAACTGTGTCCCTCCAGGAACCTTCTCATGTCTGTTTGCCCTTAAAAGGGTGTTACAGATGACACACATTCTTCTTCCATAACTAGCAATCTGCTAGAATGTTTTAAAGAGCAAAACTAAACTGTCATCCTTTTTACCACAGTGTCTGTCTATGAACACACTCCTTTAAACAGAGGTACTGAGGACAGGAATTTTATGGAATTTTCCACCTTGTGATTTTGGAGCTGCAAGTAGCTGCCCACCTGTGTGTTCCCAAATCTCACAGCCCATTGTGGGGCTCTTTTTCCACTTTGATCAGCAGCTGCCTCAACCTACCCTGCATCATTTGGGGAAGCAACAGTGTGAGAAGGGTTTTAGTTAAGTAAGATGACAATTCTGCTCTGCCCTTCAGTGTTGATCTGCTGTTAATAACATTGCCAGAATATTCCAATGTCCTGCAGGTTTTGTTCTGATTCTCTGCTGGGCTCCTCTTGCCAGGAGTCAGCTGTTGTTGTGTTCTCTCTGAACATGAATTCCATCTTTGCAACCTTTCCCAGGGAGCTTCACAGCACCATGGAGCAGCATGTTGCAGTCGAGTGAGCAGTACTGCCTGGCCTGGGAATCCAAGTACTTGATGGAGCTTGGCAATGCTTTGGATTCCCTGCTGAATGGCTTTGTTAACATGATGGCTCAAGAAGCCCTAAAATTAACTGTCTTCTCAGGTAAGAACCTAAATCATATTAGATCTGCTTGAGTGGCTCTTGTGCAGTTCCCCTGTTAGAGGAGCTTTCCTAAAGAAGGAATATTTTGGAGGAGGCAGTGTTGGCACCACCCTGCAGGAGTGACCTGAGAACCTCCTCTACCACACCTGTAATTTAGCTGTGCTTTCCTGGATTGCTGAGCCACCGCATCAGTGACTCATTTTGTTGAAATTACATCTGGAAACACCTTCCTTCACATGTGACTGTTCACTTCTCTCCGTTATTACATCACTTTACTGCTGTACATAAACCTCTCCAACTCACAAGTTACGCTCACCCACAACATCTGTATCAGAACATCAGATTCTTCCTTATCTTCAGTCCAGCAAAGCATTTCTCAGCTCAGCTCTTGAGAAAGAAGAACTGGAAATGACAAAAGCTCCTAAACTCAGCTTTTAACTTTGCAGGCCAGTGATCTATTTGCAGTGAACTGTCTTGCTTTTGATGTTTTCTAAGAAACCTCTGTGTGTTGCAGGGATTGTGACGGCCTTGACGTGGCCAACTTCACTCCTGACTGTTGCCAGTGTCATTGACAACCCCTGGGGAGTGTGTCTGCACCGGTCTGCTGAAGTAGGCAAACACCTTGCGCATATCCTGCTCAGTCGACAGCAGGTAATTGGCCAGAAATTATCCAGGAATAAAGGTTGGAAGGGGTTTGGCCCATGGAGGTGAAGTTTCGTAGTCACACTAGTTAACTGTCAAGTGGTATTGTTCCAGGAAGACAAAAATTAATAAAATAAAAACTTAAAGAGTGCTGCAGAAAGCTGACCAGCAGGTATCTGGTATTGGGGAAAAAGAGAAAATCCCAAGTGGATCAGAGAAATCCTGCTGCAAATTGTTCCATTTAACCTAAAGCTTTTCCAAATGAGGAAAAAGAGATCCAAGCTTGTGGTGGTTTTAATCTAGGCCTTCCCTGGTTACCAGTTTGTAACCAAGGAAGGGACAGTGTTCCCAGTATTCCATACAATTTTTACGTAAATCGTGGTATAAATAAAAGGGGAGAAGCGGCCTTCGTTCTTCTTCTCTTCCACCAGAGTTCAGGAACAGTGGGTCCCTGCATTGGTCTCGCTTATCTAAGGCTGAGGCTGCAGCATCCACTGGCCTGCCACATGGAAGCTTGGAGAGTGCTGGCAGTGTCTGCCAAGCCTGCTTTCTAAGGGACGTGGTGAGATTTGTTTTACTAGTTATTTTACTGGTTCTCAGGTTTGATTGCACATATCTGTTCGGTGTCCCTTTTTGATTCCTTTTATCCCTTTTTCCCCTTTCCCTATCCCTTCGGGGGTGGTTTAAATTTCCATTTGCTGTGTACAAAGCATCTTAACTGTAATATACATAAAATATATTTTTTATATAACTAGCTTGGTTTTCGGGTTCTCCAATTTGCATAGTTTTTTTCCTTTGCCCTGGGGGAAGTAGAAAAGGGGGAAGAGAGGGGCTGCTACTGGGGGGTTGGGCATTTGACAGGGAGCCAAGTACAAACCATCACAAAGCTGTAGATGACCAGTGGCTTGAGACAACCATGCCCACTGCCCCAGTGGAAATTGGAGAGTAGGAAGTAAGGAGAGGTGAAAAGTAAAGGAGAACACAGTGTGTTAAAAATATTCATTGATCATTAAGAAGCAGCAGCAAAACAACCTGAGACAAAAATGTGTGGCAGCCAATGCCCTGTAAGCTTTGCTTCAGAGATGTGGAATGGGGTGGTACCTGAAAGAAGTGACAGAAGCTATTAAATCCCCCTGAAAAGGCTTGGAAAAAAAGACATTTCTGCTCCCAGAAAACCTGCCATCATTTTCTGGGCTAGCCCTGGTTTTTGCTGGCCATGTGTTCATCTCACACTGGTTCATGCTGATGTTGAGGAGCTGGAAGGGAGCCGTGACCCCAGAGCTGTGTCACAACAATGTGGAACAGCAGAGTAGAAACAAACTTGATTTCATAGAAATCCCATCCCAGGAAAGCAAATAAACTTTATTTTGCCCTTTGTCTTGCTGCAGGGCATTTGTTGCTGCCTATTAAGCATTTGCTGTTGTGAAAACACACGTTCCAGCGAGCTGGAGAGTCTAAAATTAGTGTGATGTGTAGGGTGTCCATGGCATACCTGCTCCCTGGATAGTATGAAGACCATTTCTCATTGATGCTGAGATTAGGCTCCCTCTGATCTTACAGAAAATCTTATTAGGCTATTCAAAATAAAAGCTTAAAGCTTAAAACCCACATCATTTTTTATGAGCATCACATGGTGCTGCTGTCACTCAGTCTGAAATCTGGAAGTGGTCAATATTTTTTGTATTACAGCTGCTTCTTCTGTTTATTGAAACATTTTTAGGAAAATTTTGCTCCCTGAATTAGGTTTCATTTGGAAATTTCAAACCAATGACAACATCTGGTTTGGTTTTGCTTGAAAGAGCTGCTTTGTTGTAAGTTCTAATCATTAGACTCTTTCAATTGATTTTCTGAAGATCAAAACATACAAAATACTCAGATATGCAGAATCCTCCCTATTGAACTGGACATAATCCCTTCGAAACCAAGCAAGTTGCTCAGACATTTCAAAGACGATGCACAAATAGGTGCTCTGTGTCTCAGGCTCTCAGGGACCTCCAGACCAGTCTCGCTTTCCGGGTCTAGAGCAGAATTTGATGGATTTCTCTCCTTTCCTTCTTTCTCAGGGGAAGAGACCTGTCACACTGATTGGCTTCAGTCTGGGTGCAAGAGTCATTTACTTCTGCCTGCAGGAAATGGCTCAAGAGAAAGGTAAAATTCCCCTTATGACCTTTTTCTCCCTTATTACTGCTGATAGAGAAGTTTTTCTTCCAAGAGGAAGAGTTTTTCTGGAAGAGAACTTGGCTCTTTTAGGATAGGACAAAAATCTTTAAAAAATGGTTTTGAAATGCCTTTGGAGCCAATTTCTGTTGTCATTTCCCCCAGTTCAGCAGATAAAAACCTCTGCCTTCACCTGAGTTGCTCCAGTGGGTCAGTCTGGTCTGTAAACAACAACTGGACATTTGGATCAGCCTGGAGCTGCCCACATGCTGCTGTAATCCCAGCAGAGGATGCTTTGCCTTTCTTGGGAGCTCTCTGCAGCTCTCTGTCTGATTCCCTGAGTCCTCCCTTCCATTTAAGTCACTGAAATGCCTCTGTCATCTGCTATTTTCATGGTAATTTTTCCACAAAGTCAAGTATAAAACCATCTGTCAATTTATTACCCATTGTGGTTCTGTTTATTAATAGATTCTATTTTTAATTTAGAGAAAAAGAGAATAAAATCATTATGATCAGTTGATGGAAATTGTATCTTGGAATTGAGTCAGCAGTGAGTGTGTGCCTGCCTTCCCCCCACATAGCAATTTAACTCATTAACCATTTATCCTCACAGATAATTACTAGTAAATAAGGAGCTTTATAAAGGAAAATGTCCAGTGTAGTCTAAAAAGTGGGAACAGAGTCAGGTGAGGACAGAGAGGTCAGCACTGACAGCTTTGTACCAGAACTTCACTTCTGATTTAGGATGCAAGTCCTCAAATACAGGAATTCTATTCTCAAAATAAGTCTAATCAAATCCAGAATGGTCCTAATGGAGTTACACCAGATCCAGCACCCAGATCCTAATCTGGCCCCAGATCTACACTTTTTGTGTCCTGAGAATGCCAAGGGCTGGGATATTTTCAGTTTGTTATTTAAGTCTGGAATATAGTAGCCTGTTGCTAAGTAATCCATGAGAGGAATCCTTAGGGGTTGGAAGGTTGGCTGCCACTCCAAAGAAGTCAGAGCATCACAGTGATGTATCAGAGCAGCTCCCACCCCACTCTGATTTTTCAGTTCCGTAACTGAATTCTGAAAGCTGAGCTGTTTGTGAGATGAAAAGCAGCATGTTAAGCACAGATTTCCAAGGCCTTCCTCACAGGCACATTCCAGAGAAGCCACAGAAAGAATGGACCTGGGACAGCTGAGACTGATTTGAGTTTGGCCTTGGATATCTCCCACAAACACGGCCTCATCACGCCGGGCTTTGCATTCAGATGGCAGTGGCATTTCTGAGACAAGTAACTAATGATGGATTAGCCAGTGAAACACCATGGCAGGAACTCAAATTCTGTTCAAATGCTTCTCTGCAAAGTAGTGGAATAACCTTTGGGATACTACATCACGGATGACTTTGGGAGCCAGAGCTCAGCAGGTTTCCAGCAAATGACATTGTAGCAGAAGATGGAGTAAATGAGCCATCAGAGACACCTTACTGCGTGGGAAGATCATTGCTCTGATTTCTTTGTCATGATTCCCATGTATTTCAATAATTAGCAATTAGCAAACTAATGCAAACTGATAATGGCTGTTACCACCAGACCCTGAAGCTTGAAACTCAACTGTGTGTGACAGGAGTGAGGTGTCACACACTGGGGATTTATCTGGTACTGATCACAGCTCCTGTGACCGCCATCCCACTGGGCTGTGATCCCTGCTGTGGTCAGGTGTCCCAGGCCTCCAGTTTAGCTTCTTTCTTCCACACTTTTTCTGGAAAAATCACCTTAATCGGTTTTTTTTCTCACTCTGCTCCCACCGTTTTGGACTTTATTGCACATTTTTCTATATAAAGCTCCATATTTAATAGCGACTCTCTGTAATTCTAAATGGTTAATGAATTAGGGGGTTTCCTCTGCTTGTGCAGACTTTATTGTTCTTCATCATCTAAAAGATTTGCAAATTGTGAAATACATTTAATTTATCTCAAGCCTCAGCAGCTTTGCAGGCCAGTGATCTGTTCCCAGGTTTCTATCCCCTTCTGTCAACATTCAAATAAAATAAGTATTTTTCAGCCAAACCTAAACATTTTTTTCTTTCTGAGCAAGAATTAAGATGTGCAAAGGACATGAGAAACAAAAGCTTCCAATACCTTGCCCAAATATTCAGGATGCTGATGAATTAGCTGTTTGTTTATTCAGTTGGCTCACTCTGTGGCCGTGGAATTTCGTACCTTCTTGGAATGAGCTTCCCGTTAGGAAGGCTGTGGGTTTCCTTTTAATTGCCCGTGATTACGGGAACAGGACTTTACTGCTCACACAGATTACAACAACAAAATTGAATTGCTCTTTGCTCTTCTCCATTGGTGCAAGATTTCCTTTGCAATAAGGACTAATTCCAGGAGAGCTCATTTGGATTTTGCTGTCAGGCACTGGTATTTACACTGCGCAGAAGGAGCAGACGCTGCAGGGAGCTCCAGTTTTTAACTCCCTCAGGGGAAGGAAACCATTTTCATTTTAAAAGTCCAACCAGGCACTGCCTCTCCCTCAAACATTTGGTTTAACTCAGGTCTTCTAGGGCCCGGCCTCCCTGAGGTGCAGAGTATGGCTTTGGAATGTTATGCCCATGAGTCTCCCATTTAACTGCTGTGGCATCAGGAGCTTCATCTCTCTTCACAAAGATTTAGGAAAGACATTGTCTTTCGTAATATATTGTCCAGGACAAATATATTGTCCAGGAGTTCAGGAAAGTAGCAGAGCTGCCCAATATTTCTCATTCCATCATTATTTCTCCTAGAATTGCCTGGCTGCTGCTCTCTGATAAGTGAAGAAGATTTATTATGCTTAAAAGTCAACATTGCTGTTCAGTATATCCTGCCTTGGGCATTCAGGTTACAGCACAAGGAAATTGGAACAGTTTAGTAGATCATCACTTGTATTGGCAAATGCCTCCATTGTTGCTACTTCCTAATGAATATTAAGAATTTGGGATTTTCTCTTACATGTGCATGTCATGTTTTCCATGGACTCAGCTCTAAGGGCTGGTTGTGGGAAGGGTTTATCGTCCATCATGTATGACAACACGATCACTCTATGGGATGTCAGCCCCTTTCACCTGTTTCCAAGCCCTGTGCAAACCCAGATCAGTGGGTCTGCAAAAAGAACTTTCCCGAGGTTTCCAAACTTTCCAGATGTTTGCTGCTTGAACAGCATCTTTCTGGACAGAGGCCAGTCCTCTCCTCCCTCCTGCCATCAGCCCGGTCTTTTTCACTGCCTCAGGATCTCTATTTCTCACATTTACTGTCTCCTGCTGAACTTCAGACACTTAACATTTATGTGAAGTTATATTTATGATCCTCCTTTCCATTGTTTCTGTCCTTCAAATTGAAACTACAGAAAGGATGATTTTTCTGGACTTCACATCTGAACACACCCTTCCTCCATGTAAAAATATTTCTGTTCCACTTTCTAAATCTGAGCTGTTCTGCTTTCCCTTAACAGAATCCCAGGGGATCATTGAAGATGTCATTTTACTGGGAGCTCCAGTGGAAGGAGAAGCCAAGCACTGGAAAGCTCTCACCAAAGTGGTGTCGGGCAGGATCATAAATGGTTACTGCAGGTCTGTCTGTGCTCAGCCCCCGCTTCGTTATCCTTGAAATGGTTTTAATGTATTTATCCCTTTTAAACACTTTGAATAATTGTTGAGCTGGTGAAGATGTTGATTCAGGAGCTGCAGAGCCTTGTTCCTCTGGAGGTCTCTCCCTCAGATCAATTGCAGGTAAGAGGCTTCAGGAGGCACTTGAGGGCTGATTGTGACACTGGAAGCCCGAGGTGCTCCATATGTAGGTCCTGTTCCTACAGGGACAGTATTTTATCACTGACAGCCTAAAGCTGGGTCAGTGTGTTTGTGTGCATCATCTGATGTATTCTAAAATCCCTTTAAATCTCAGCTTTAGGTAAAGGACTATAAATGAGGACATTAAATTCACTGGCTTAAAGAATGGGAATTAAAATCTATAAAAGCTTTAAGATACAATTCACCTAGGGCTGTTTCTGGGGAACAAGATGTGAAAATCACAATGGAAGGGAAGGAGCTCAAGTCGATTGAAGGTTTTTATGTCTACAGGAGGTTTCTGGTGAAGGTAGTCCACATGAATAAGGTGTTTTACTTACAGAAGAAGAATAGCGGGAATAGTTGTACAAAATTTAGTTAGGATGTCAAAGAATACCAAAATTACACTGAAAACAACTCGTCATCATGGCTGGGCTTTGTGAACAAAGATTTGAGAAGGGCTCTAGCCACGCTCGCTGCAAGTGCCCTGATGGCTGAAAAGGCCAGTGCGGGACAGACAAGTCTGGTTGCAGAAGGCACAGCAGAGACTCCCTGGGTGAGATCCACGAGACGCGATTCTTTCTGCTTTGTCTTTTGTCCTCGAGAGTGACCCTGTGAATGTTCTCAAAGGAAGCAATGTTATCGAGAGTGTGTGTCCAGGCCTCCTGATTGGGGGCCAGGGTAGACTGATGGTGGTGATTGATGAAAACAAATATCAGCCTTTTAAAACCACACAGGCAGCTAACTGCTGTGCAGAGCTGTGGGAGCTGCTGGGTAGGAAGAGGGAAGTTCAGAGGCCCCAGACAGCTAAAGCAGTCTCAGAAAAGCTATTGAAAATTCAAGTGACAGCTTGATGACTAATGACTAATAACTTAATGATTGTGTATTGGAAGAAAATTGTGACAGGGGCACTGCTTCTCAGCACAACCAGATAAGGGGAAATTAAAACAGAGGAAATCAAAGCAGGGAAGACTAAGAGCATGGGGAAATAAACTGAGAAAGAACCAGGCAAGAAGATTAGCAAAGAACATATACCTGCAAGTCAGGACCATTTATAGAGCCATGAGCCCTCAGGTCAAGGAGAGGTGAAAATGCTGTTGGTATTTTCCATGCATACATCCATATGGATACCTACACACATACCTGTGAGGTGAGGAACTATTACGTTACTGTGCTTCTAACAGAGTACATTAACTCACAAAGAAGAATTAGATAAATTAATTAAAAGTATTCAAGATCAAAACAACAAATTATCCATCCTATGTGTCAGTTAGGGTGAAAATTATTGCTTTTGTCTCAGCAGGTTTTAGGGATGCTGGATGTGCACAGCACTTACGGTATTTCTTCACGTGCATCACAAAAAAGCAATTGCTGCCTCCCTGGGAGTGCTCTGAGTTCCTCCAAGAAGCCATAAATGATAGAAATTGTTGCATATAACTAAGCTTACCCAGCAAATATTGTTCTTCCCTGCATCCTACAAAAATCAATTTCACTGCAAAAAGCTCAGTATATTCATTTCCTATAACACACCAAAAAAGGACTAAAATAGTATGTGTGTGTCTAGCCCTGTGTGTGGTAATTTGGCAAGTCCAGGTCTTGGGTGTTGAGTGAAAAGTGACGTAGAAATTGTAGCTGGTTGCTCACACCTGGGAAGAAGCAGGTAAGGAGACTGTCAGGAAATATTCCACTATGCAGGTTCTCTACCTTTCCCTCAGATGCTGAATTTGGGGGTTATCCAGGAAGCATGAGGGACAGCTAGAGGAGGGAACTGAGAGATATGGGGTATTTCTGTGAGGATTGAGATATGAAATAAGTATTATACAAATAGTTCTTGGTAATACCTCAGATGATTCTGATTTCTCTGGTCTCTCCCTTATACAAAGGGTGGCCTCATTCTGTCACTTCAGGAGTAACTCTGTTTAGATGAATTACACTGAATACAACTCCTGCAAGATCAGATTTGAGCCCAGTTGGTCGAGTTTCAGTCCAGTATAACTTGTCTCCTTGGGCTTTGAAGTCTGAAGGGACAGGGTAAGTGAAAACCAGCTGTCAGAGCTGTCCCCTCTTATTTCACAGTGGGGCTACAAATTCCTAGTGGGAAACCTCACCCAAAGTAGTTGGACTCGCTCAGCTTTTGGAAGAACCCAGGGCTGAGCAGCATGTATGTGTTGCAAAAGTTTTGCAGAGCTCTGCATAGACTTACAACTCCTAGTGTAGAGTTTGGGAGTGAACAAGCAGACATAGGCATGTGTGCAGGAGCATTTCACCTGCTGCCATCAAAGAGGACAAATCCCACTCATATCCCGCTTGAATCTACCCTATAGTGGCATTGAGGTGCCCAGATTTTATGATCTTGCTCATCACAGAGTGATGTGATTCCAAAGGATGCTTTGCCTTGTCTCCTCGTGCCACTGTCACAGTGACTTATGGCACTGCTTTAGAGTGAGAACAAACCCTGCCTGGTCCTGTCACTGAAACCATGTGTTTCCACAGTACCCCTAAATCAGGAGCACTCCCAGAAACCTCACAGTCGATATTTATGTCACAACATCAGTACTGTAGATCTCATCACCTTTACAGCTGCCTACAGGCTGGAGAACTTCTGCCTATTAGTACATTAAAAGGATGAAATTTTTCAGTGTACTGCAATCTCTAAGCCAATACAGAAATAGATAGAAAGGTCAGATTATTAAACCTGCTGCAGGAAATGAGACTACACTCAGGAGTCAGGGTCAGATTCAGACTTACTTACACTCCTGTGTCCCAGGAACCTGCCCTGAATCTGGCAGGTGATTGCTGATGAGATTCCTGCATCACATGGAGTGCAGTAGGTCTTGGTTCAGACATCACTGTGCTTCCAGCCCTTCTCTCCTTGTGGTCTGAGTAGTAACACATTGAAAGTGTTCCAGGCTAAGCTGGACAAGGTTTGGAGCAACCTGGTCTAGTGGAAGGGGTCCCTGCCCATGGCAGGGGGTGGAGCGAGATGAGCTTTAAGGTCCCTTCCAACCCAAACTGTTCTAGGGTTCTGTGACTCTGCATTGCATTGGTTGGACAAGAGGATTTATTCCCTCTCTTCTCTGCTCCTAGGGGGGATTGGCTGCTGAGCTTTGTGTACAGAACCTCCTCTGTCCAGCTCAACGTTGCAGGACTCCAGCCAGTTGACCTGGATGACAGGAGGATGGTAAACATGGACCTTTCCTCTGTAGTAAGTAGTTCCTATATTCTGCTTTTTTCTCCATCATCCTTTACTTGCAGCGCTGCAACCCCACACTGATGCTGAGAGGAAGCTGGGTACTTAAAAGACCCTCTCCACGTAAATTGTCCCTCTTCCCTGTCTTTGGGGAAACTCATCTCAGACTTCACTCTGGATTTTTTTGGCCCAACCAGTGTTTAGCATTGAGCAAAAAAATGAGAATTTGCCTCTCCATTTGGATATATTTGAGGTTTTTTGGTTCTGACATATCTCATACTGGATACAGAAAATGCCATTATTCTCCAAGAAGGACCTTTCTGTCCTAGGATCATAAAGTGGTTTGAGTTGGAAGGGACCTTAAAGATCATCTTATTCCAATCCCTGTGAGTCTGGATCAGGAGGAAATGGGATCAGCAGCTGGAAAACGTGGAAGTCAAACACATGACTGCGGAGCAGGTGCAGCCCACAATCTTATCTTGGTGGAGCCTCCAACACTGTTCAGGTTCATTCAGGGCCAGGTCCATGGGCCTTGTACCTTGGTCCCCAGGGCCGCACCGACCACAATTGGATCCGGTCTGGAATTACAGAAGCTCCATGATGGCAATGGTTGGTTTGCCAGCTCCTGCAGCCTGTTTGGAGTGTGGATCTCCAGGAAGCAGGAAGAGGCTCATGGGTATATCTGGCAAGCATTCAGCTTCCTCAGAGCTATCTGGTGTCATTAATGATAAACCACTGTTGTAACATCTGGCAATATATCCATCAATATTCAACTCATTTACCTTAAGCAAATTCATCATCACATTGTTGTCTCATGAGTGAGCTCTTCCATGGAGAACCATGCAGAACTCAGCTTGTACATCCATATCCACAGAAATCTTGGGCATGTCATCATGTCTTTCCTTATCTTCATTGTTTTAATTCATTTTTCGCTCTCTGGAAACTGGGAGATGCTCGGCAAAAAGGTCAGGATACTTCCATGGCTGTTGTTCCTGCCATGACTTTTCCCAAATGTCCCCACAAGCTGACAGGGACTGTCAGTGTTGCTTTGCAGCCAAAGGCTCTTTGAAGAGCTATCAGATTTTTTGGAGCACCATCCTCCTGAGCCTATAAATATCCAACTGCTCCCAGCTCATTTCATTCGTTCTAACTGAGCTTTGCACAGCCCTTACCAGCAAACACATGGCTTGGTGCTGAACAGAGAGAACAGACACTTTGCAGAACAAAATATGGGCTTCCCAGGAGGAAATGGTATAGTACAGGCTTTTAAATGTGGTCCAGAATTTGTATCTTTGCATCTCGCTGGGTTGTCAGCGTTTCCACACACTCCCACATCCAGTTTCTCACCATCCCCAGAGCTGCCATTAGTCACTTTCTATCTGACATCTGTTGCTGGCTTGAAAATGGCCAGAGATGCCAAGTGGTAGCACTGGGGTGACATTTCCTGTCAGTCAGTCCATGTTACTCTCCTCTTTTTGAGTTCTCTTCAAAGACCCTCCTTCTATTGACCTTCTGCTTCCTGAACTGTGAAGTCTCCAGGGTCCTGCGCACTTTATCCTGCAGCAGCCTCTCTATTTCCCTTGGAGGAGCAGGATTTACATTTCAGCTGAATGAATAATGTTTACAGAGCTGCTGTCTGCTCATCTCCTAGTGCTGTGCATCTGCCTGGTGCCAGCAGACAATTCCAGTGCTGCTCTCCTTCAGAAGGAGCTGACACTTCCACTTCCTCCATCTCACTGCAAAGCTTTTGGGGGGAAAATGTTTATTAAGTAGGTGTCGTTCTCTTGATCTGTTTTCCAGACCATGGAGCTTTATGGGAAGAAATACAGTGCATTCTGGGGAACAATTTAGAAGTAAAAGCAGCAAGAATGGGAAGGAAAAATCCAGAGGCAATATTTTTTTAAAATTTTAAAAAAGCAAAGATGGTTTTTGCTGCAAATACAGTGCAGTAGCATAACAGAAAAATACATACTGATATTTAGAGATATAGAGAGAAGTTTTCTTTCTGGGAACCAGCTCCATCCCTGCAGATGCCCTCACTGGAGGTCCCTGTGAGTCTTCTGCCAGAAGAACTAGGTGTGATAGAAGAAAAAAGTGTAACTGATGAAAAGATGTTCAGCATGGAAGTATTAACAGGCAGCCTCAGTATTTTGGTATCTCCCAGTCCATCCATGATGAAAACTGGACTTGATTCTCTTTGCTGTGGTAGCACCAGAATCCTCAAATGAGTAGAGGACTAAGAGCCCTCAGTAAAACCAGGAATTCACTTCTGAGGCCTCTATCTCATGTCTCTCTTGATTAATGTGGTTTTTATCTGACTGTCGGTTAAATAGAAGAGAGAAAAACGTCCTCCCACTCAGCAAATGGAGTTATAAAATCCTTCCTCACTGTTACAATGGGGCTGATTTATTCAGTGGGTTTATTTGACAGCACCTGTTAGAGACCAAGGAAGTGGTGGAGCTGCAGCAGATTATCCTGATTGCTGTTTGTTCCCAGGGGAGTTTGTACAGCACAGGCTGAATTAACGTTTGAATATTGCACAGCTGCTCTGAGGCAGAGCACAGGGAGCATTTTCAGGTCAGGAGTTGGTTTTGTAGTTTCTCTGGGCAGTTTCACAGCATCAGGAATCAGGGATTAACTTGCAAACATAGAGACAGTGGGAATGCGTATTTGGAAGTGCAGTGGAGAGCAGGGATGGATCACAGAGTCTGCCAGCACTGCCAAAGCCACCACTAAGCCACGTCCCCAAGTGCCACATCCACACAGCTTTTAACTCCCTGTGGGGATGGGGACTCCACCACCAGCCCATTCCATTGCCTGACCACCCTTTCCATGCAGAAATGTTTCCTGATACCCAACCTAAGCCTCCCCTGGCACAGCTTGAGGCTATTTCCACTCATCCTGTCACTTGTTACCCTCACCTGGCTTCACGCTCCTTTCAGTTCTCCGGAGAGGGAGCAGTGTTGCCACTCTGAGGGAGAGCAAACAGACTCAAGGCATTCTGGCTGTCACCAGGCAGGTACATCAATACCATAAGCAGATAGAAAGGCTGAATTTTGTGGAATGCAACTGCTTTGGCACTTCTGTGAGTCAGACTTTTCCCCCAAACACATTAAACTGTGTGTTTTCCCCCTGTATTCCCAAGACTTGCAGCAAAGAATTAATTGTGGTTGCAAAATACAGATTAATTGAGAACCCTGGGGAGTTCAAAAGGCAAAGGGTTGCCACGGTCTCATTCCTTCTCTTTTTTCACCTGTTCCAAATGAGCTGTGCCACCTCCCATGGTGACAGGCAAAGACAGGTTCAGAGGAGGAGGAGCTTGGAGCAGAACTCTGCTTCAAGCAGCAACTCGGGGGAGCTGGGAGAGCCTCTCTCACACTGGGGGGACATCCAGGGCTTTATGGAAATTAGTCTGTCTGTTGGTCTGTGGGGTCACAGGGATGGTTTCTACAACCCTGGAGTCATCAGTGGCTTCATTTTCTGTGCTGCTTCTTGATTTGGGAGCTCCGAGAATCCCAGATTAAATACATATTTAATACATTTTTCCCTTTGGGACACAAGTAGAGGGCTCTGGCATTGTCACTGTGTTAGAACAGAGGAAGAAACTGAAAAAGCCTTTCCAAAAAAAGTGCAATCAAAGCCATTAATAACTTGCAATTTGGCTTTGCTTTGTGCCTGACAAACCCCAAAGGCTTCCATTCAGCCACAGCCTGTGTCAAGGTTCATTGAATGTTCTCTGGTTCCTGCTGTGGGAATCTGCTCTGCCTTTGGCTTTTGCCAGGTCCAGACACATTCACCTGCACAGGCAACATTAGAGTTTTGCCATAAACTGTGAGAAAACTGTGGAAAACAGCCAGGACATTTTCTGCCAGGCTGAGAATTGGGGTTGTTCAGCCTGGAGAAGAAAAGGCTCCAGGGTGACCTTAGACCACCTTCCAGTGCCTAAAGGAGCTCCAAGAGAGATGGAGAGGGACTTTCGACAAGGGCCTGGAGTGACAGGACAAGGGGGAATGGCTTCCCACTGCCAGAGGGCAGGGTTGGATGGGAGATTGTGGAGAAATTCTTCCCTGTGGGGGTGGGGAGGCCCTGGCACAGGTTGCCCAGAGAAGCTGTGGCTACCCCATCCCTGGAAGTGTCCAAAGCCAGGTTGAACAGGGCTCTAAGCAACTTGGAATAGTGGAAGGTCTCTGCCCATGGCAGGGGTGGAACAATCTTGTCCCTCCCAACCCAAACTATTGTAGGATTCTGGGATTCTATAAATGCCTGATGTCATGCAAGGTATGCCCAGCTTCTGAACTAAGGCATAGGCTGACATGTGGGAATATCTGTGGCAGGAGCCTGCCAGCTTGGCAGAAGTGGCTGGATTTTGAGTGATAGTGTGGCACAGCTTGGAAGCCCTGCAATCCATCAGCCTGTGCCACCATGTGGACCAGGCTCTGCGTGGGTTTGGAGGCAGTATCCAGAACTGAGGATTTTTTGGAAAGCACCAGTGGCATTTAAGCTTCTTCCCTTCTGTACCCATAACTCCCCAGTTCAGTTCAGAGGCAGGGTTGAACTCCAGTGCTCTTCTTCTTTGGGCAACAAATTCACTGTAGCTTTGGGAAAGGGAAAGTAAACAGTAACCCAAGTTGCTGAGCTGTCTCTGCAGTTTAATTCCATTCTGTGTGTACACACAGTGTCTGACACCCAGAGGAGGAAAGAGCTGCTGAAAGGTGAGATGTGATTATCAGGTGAGCTCCAGAACCTGCAGCTCACTCCAGGAACTCTTTTATTGTCCCCAAAATACCATTTGCTGTGAAAAAAAGGCAGCGTTTGCTAACAGGGAATCCCTGAACCGTGCCCTCCAAGGTCATTACTGCTCCTGCTGAAATAACAAAAATCTGCAGAGATGTTTGAACTTGAGAGAATCTTTTCCCACATGATAAAGTTGCTCTTTGTACATGATGGACTCAAAACAAATCCAAGGGATGGAATTCTCAAAGGTATGAGTGACCTGTGCCTCCTCCACCACACTGCCTGCCTCCTCAGTGATTCCCTGGGAATCCATGGGGTGTTGGTGAAGGGCAGCAGGAGGAGGGCACAGCTACCCTATCCTGTGCCTGCCCACAGGGAGCAGAGAGGATAAGGGACACTGAGCTCAGCTTGGGCAGTTCCACAGCCCTGCAGAGCAAACAGGGATTTGGAGCCAAATGCACTCCTTGCGTTGCTGCTCAGGATGGGTGATAGAGCTTTTACTGAAGGACTCCGGGCAGGACCTGAGGATATTTGGCTCTGGAGGGAGCAGTGGAGTCTTATCTCTGCCGTATGGAGTGATGTCACTGTGACACTCAGTGTTGTGAGAGAGCAGGAGCCATACCTGTGCCCAGGTGAGCCCATGGCAGAACCAGGATCATATGGAATGGCTCCTTTCTCCTGGCCCTTTCTCTGCCCTCCCCTTGCCAGGCTCCAGCATACATTGTGTTCCTATAGCTCAGATCAGAGAGAAACTGGGATTCCTCCTCAGTACACAACAAACCCACTTCTCTGTGAATTTAACAGTCGCAGCTGATTGTGGGTGGATTTGAACTTGAAAACCTTTCCAAACATACTGAGCTGATGGCTCCTTTCTGCTGGCTGGTGGGTCTCCCTGAGCAAAGCCATCAGTTGTTGTCCTCTGGAGATCTCCCAGCAGCAGCAGTGCCAGAGGCAGCTGGCTCATGTTTTCCAGTGAGTCAAAGCAACCATAAAGTCAGGTAGAGTAGTGAGAAGTCACCTCAACACACCAATAAACCCACCCCACTGCTTTCATCTTATAATAAGCAGAGATCTATTTGCTCTGGTGCCGAGAACACTCTTCCATTCATCCTGAAATTCCTCCTGCACTTTGTTCTGATAAATATTCAAACAACCTCTTTATTTCCCTTTAAAGTTTTTATTGACTATGTCGTAGATGTTCTCCTCCCATCTCCTGCACAGCCTAACCAGTGGAGGAATTCAGCTTTGGTAGCAGATGGAAACAGGCTTTGGAGATCTGGAACTGCTGGATTTTCCAGCCAGGATGGCACCAAGTGGCAAGGCAGTTTGTTTGCTGTCCCTTTGCTGATGGCTCAGTGCTCAATGTCACAATGCAGCACAGCACACTTACACTTCTCAGGGCTTGTGCTGGTCCAGCTTTAGGGAATCCTCTCCTGGGCTGTCCTGGAGACAGGAGCGAGTTTCCTTGGAAGAGATTTAGAAATTAGAGGTTTAGCAGAGCTGCAAGAAGGGATGGACTTCCGGGAGGTCTCAGCTTCTCTTTAGCTGCAGGATGGCTCATAGCCTGCATCCCTCAGTGGTCATGGGAAAGGAATTTCCTGTTGTTTTAGTGGAAGCTGCTGGATACTGAGGAGATATGAAAAGTTAGTCCTTAAGGTGGCAGAGGAAATTTGTTCCCTCTGACTAATGACTTGGTAAACAGTAGGATGAGAAAGCCCCAAGCACTGACCAGGGCAGGCAGATGGTGGTGAGTGGAGAGGTTCTGAATGCAGCAAACCAAGAGCCTTCAGCCCCTACTCCCAGCAAGTCCAGCTCCTTTCCTGCCTATCCCCACCTTGCTCCTTCAGCACCAACCACCCTGACTGAGCAGCAAAAGATTTGTACTTTTGCAATGTCCACAGCTCACAGCCAGTCCCTCAGTCCTTCCGTGGTTATTTTAGTTAACTAATCAGCTCCAAACATGAGAGCATGTTGAGCCATCTGGAAGAACTGAAGTCACATATTGTATTCCTGATGTGCTGATTAAATCCTTCAGTTTGGTCCAAGCCCTAAGTGCAGTCAAATGCTTCCCCCTCCAAAGCCACTTCATGCAAACTTCTTGGAGGTTTGGATTTTTGGGAGGAAAGGTTGGCTTTAGTTTTGGGAGAGCTGTGCTGGGAACCCTGGAGCTGGCACAGTGATGAATCCCAGAATCCCAGAATGGTTTGTGCTGGAAGGCACCAGTTCAAACCATTTGCCATGGGCAGGAGCACCTTCCACTAGCCCAGATTACTCCAAGCCCCATCCAACCTGGCCTTGGACACTTCCAGGGATGGGGCAGCTGAAAGATTGCTCTGGAACCAGGCAGGGGCTGAGCAGAGGGTGCATGGCTGGTGTCTTTGCAGAGCTCTGTGAATAGCTGTTACCATCATCATCCCTTTCTGGGGCACTCATCTACCTGACTGGGAACCAGGAAACCTGGGACTGGGGTGTTGGGTTTTCCCTGATGTGGAAATTCCCCAATTACTAGCGAGGTTTGGGAAAATAAGAGGCTGAGCCAGCTCTCTGGCTGGATCAGGAAGTATTTAAACTGTTGGAAATTGAATTTACCAAAGATACTGAAGTATCTCAGGATGCTGTCGGTGCATCAAGTGCTCGGTTTGTGCAGGACACCTGGAATGGGGAAGGAATTTCTGCCTCTCTAACCACATGGCCTTTAGTATAAACAACAATCACCTTCAGAGGAGGTTTTCTGTCCTCCTGTGCCCTGACTGGAAGGATACATTCCAATATTCATCTCAGGAGGCCTTATTTTATCATGGAATTCATCTTCCAATAAAAACATCTGGGGTTTTGCACGTACTGTTGACTTTTATTTGGTTTATGGACCCATAACTCTTGGGCTCCTGGTTTTATATTATGTGGGATGGATCAGTGCAGTCTCCAGCCAAGAACCTTAACACACTTGGTAGCTGTGTGAGGTTTAATGACTGTATCCTAATTTAAATAAGATAATCTTAGCTTTTACAAGGGAGCTGAGGCACCTGGAGGAATGTCATTTAGCACAGAACAGGGAGCTGAACTAAGAGAAATCATATCCTACCTGGGTGTCTCTCTCTGTGGTAGAGCTGCTCCTCTTACCCTCATGGCACCCAGGATTTGGGGTTGTAACTCAGCCAGGTCCAGGCTTTTAAACATCTCAGAAGAAAAATAATCCAGCAGCAACGTGTGCCCCAAAGGCTGCTGCCAGTTCAGGCTGTTCCATGCACAACTGCATTTATCCAGTGGTGGAATCACCACCCCTGGAAGTGTTAAAAAACCATGTGGATGTGGCACTTGGGGATGTGTTTTAGTGGTGGCCTTGGCAGTGCTGGACTTGATGATCATAAATATCTTTTCCAACCTTAGCGATTCCATAATTCTGTGATTTTCCAGCCTCATTCTTTCCTCCTCAGAGCCAAACCCAAGTTTCATGGCAGTGGTGGCTTGTCTGGATGAAAGACTTGGCTGAGCTGGGTCCTCGCAGGTTCCCCACTCACAGGACTCTTTTTCCCTGCAGGTGAATGGCCACCTGGACTACATGAAGCAGATGGACACGATCCTAAAAGCTGTCGGCATTAAAACCAAGGAATGCCAGCCAGCAGAGAAAGGCAGTGGCAGTCTTTTCCCCTCTCTAGCCAAGAAATCCCTGCGGGAAGCAGGCAGTGAGGCTCAGGGAGAGGAAAACACCGGGAAAGAGGAGGATGAGGGTGAGGCTCTCCCAGCCGGCTGCGCTCACCAACGGGATTCCTCCAGCTCTCTCCTGGGAAAGCCCTGCCTACCCTGACAGGACTGCTCCCACAGCAGGGACAGCAAGGACCAGGCAGCAGGAGAAGGAGAAAATTAGAGCAGAGCGGCTCAGCCAGCACTAAAAGCGCTGCCACAGCAGCAGCCGCGGCCCCAGGATTTCCCGGGGCTAGAGCCGGTGCAGCTGGAGCTGCAGTTTCCCACCCCTCAAGTGAGCCTGGAGGGTGGCACTGGTTTGGCACTGGATCAAAGCATTCGGAGCATCTGCCAACGGCACCTCCCACGGACGAAAGAGGGCTGGTTCCTGCCTGAATCTGCACTGCTCCTCAGGAATCCAGGACAGATCCCATCCAAATCCTTGCAGGAAGCAGCTGTTCCCCCTCAGCACTGTGTCCCTGCTATAACTGAGAAACAAGTGGCTCTGAGGGGATTTTAATCATATCACAGAGAGGGGGCTCATCATTAGGAAATTAAAAGCATTTTTGCACTGGAGATTGGTTTGGTTTGTGGATTTCAGGTGTGTTGAGGGCTCTGCCAGCCCGCTTCAGGCGGATCAGTGTCCACACTTCAGCTGTGCTGGCTGGGGAGGAGAAAGGCTTGGGCTGCCAGGGCACTTTCCAATCTCCGAGACTATTTCCTGTCTCCAGGTTGATGTCAGTGACTTTTGGAGGGCCTGTTTCTGTTAGAAACATGCTTGGGACCCTGGGTGACAGCAGCAGGAGAACCGAGTGGACTTCATATGGCTTATGAAACTTCAAGGCTCTCCAAGCCCAGCAATCCACTGACACTTTTCTTTTGAGTCCCACACACATCTCCAGCCTTAAAAGCCTCCTTTAGACATATTTTTGATTGGCTTAGAATAAAACACATACTTGGCATATGATAAACATGAATCTGTTTCATTCCTTCCATAAAAGTGAATTGGTTCCACTCTCTTCTCCTCAGTCTCAGGGCAGAGGACGGGACATGGCTTTACATCCCCTGCTAGCAGAGCTCCCAAATTGTGTGGGACTGATCCACATCTTCCATAAAAGCTCCTTTTCTGTCCTGTTTTTCTGCTAAGCCCAGGGAAATGCATCTGGCAGGAGTGCGACAAATGGATACCCCTGCTCTGAGAACACCCCTGGAGTTTTCTGCTTTGCCACAGGTGTTGTGGTACAAACACCTCCCACTCCTGATCTGGGGGGTCTCATTGACTCAGGAAGGGAAATAGTGCGATTGCACCTTCCAATTTTGGTTCACAGAGGGTCCTCCTCCTCCTCCTCCTGCCTCCCTGATCCAGCACCTCCCTCTTCCCTTCCCCAGGCTCCCTGCACACCTTACCTGCAGATTATTTGTCATGGAGTCGAAGACATGGCTGGTTTGGGGGATGATGCTGTAACACAGCAAAGCACAGCGGTTTGTGTTCGGTGCTTGGTGTTTCCTCTCCCCAAATCCAACATCTAAGGGAGCTCAGACCTTCTCTGCTCCATTCTGGAGCAGTGATGAGAGACATCTCTGGAGACAGGCCACAGGATCCCACAGTGCTGGGGCTGTTTGGCCAGTCAGTGTTGATGCTGTTGGCTGCAGGGAAAAGATGGGATTTCTCCACTCATCTGAGGCTTTGTCCACAAGCAAACACCTAATTACAAAAGACTGTCTTGATGAGACAGTAATGAATTATTGCTTTTGAACATCTGGCTTGATGAGATCTCTGTCTCTCTCTCTGTCCATCTCCCAGGGCTGATTTAGTACCTAACGGATTTCCAGACTCCATTGTGCATTTTCCTGCTCCTTTTTAGCTGGAGTTGTAGTCAAAGTATGACTTTATATAAAGCCATTTTGTGGGAAGATGCATATATTGATCTCTATGCTTGACACCAGCTCCAGGCTCTCCGTCCACACATCCAGGGGAAAATGTATTGAACAGTTTGAGGTTTGAACCTGCTGAGCCCTCAGTGTGTCCCAGTCGCTCATCCCTGACTGCTGGCCCAGTTCCCAGGGGGTACAAAGTACCAAGTAAAGGTCAAGTTGGTCATAAAAACTCTTGTTGAGTTCTGGAACATCCATGGGCAACATGGAAAGAAAACTAGTGAGATTTGCTAGGAGTGTGACTGTTTCTTCCAGCATCCCATATCCAGGGGATGGTCTGTGTCTGTTTGGATACTGGTGAGTTCCAGGAGCACAGTCAAACCCATTAATGGGAGCTTGGAATTAGGCAGAAGACTTGGGAGAAGGGGTCCAGGGAGGGCACAGCGGCCAAGTGCCAGCCCAGCTCTGCAGCCCAAAGGCACTTGAGGAAGAATTTACTAAAATAATTTGGTTTATTGATTTTTTTAAGAGCCCACTTGCCACATTACTCACTGTTCCCTCTGCTTGTGGCTATGGTGGGGGTGGGCTGGGTGGAGGCATCCTGGAATTGTCATTTAAATGATAATATTTCTTTAGATTCCTATTTGAAAGGGGGGAGACTGTATTTTCTAATTGCATCATCTAAAAATTAACGGATTGTCAGAAATGTGGTGGTCCTTTGCCAAGAATGGGAAGCTGTAGGATGGAGCTGTAAGAGGCATTGATCCCATTACTACTGTCACACAACCCACAGAGCCATGACGAGTCACACCCCCCCACACCCCACAGAACATCCAAAAATCAGTGTTGGACATTCTGCACCCAATTTAACCCCCATAGTACAGCTCTCCATGATTTACCACGATGGTTTCAGTGGGCTGTAACTCACTGCTTCACAGGAAACCGAGACAGACATGCTCCGAGTCAGGAAACGCAGCTCCAAGAAGACATGATGTTCCTCGGGCTGAAGCAGCTCCAAACCTCTTATCCATGAGTCATGGCATGTGTTTCCATCACTCCTCTCAGTGCAGTACACGAGATGGAGGTGATCCGTGTGTGAAAGCTGAAAACCAAGCCTTGGTTTAAGTTTAGGGGGACAGAGGATCTGGAATCCAAGGTTCAGACTAACTGGAGGTGGAAAGAATCTTAGAATCACAGAATCACAGAATATGCTGACTTGGAAGGGACCCACAAGGATCATCGAGTCCTGGTCCCCTTAGAATACCCCAAGAATCCCACCATGTGCCTGAGAGTGTTGTCCAAAGGCCACAAGGAGGGTGAGGGACTGGTGCCAGTGAGCAAAGGAGGGATGGAAGAGAGAGAAACAAGGCAGATCAATTCAGCAGTGACACGTGGCTGAACCTACCCATGGCAGTGCCCTCTGCAAGCTGCACGATGGGCTGGATGAGGGAATTGGAGCAGCAGCATGTGGGCTGTTTGTGTGGGGCCGAAGGACCCTTCCCCGTACATCGAGCTCTGTGACCCCACTCAGGCCACGGGGGTGCTGAGCTGCCCATGCTGCGGCTCTGGGTCCAGGGGCTCTGTGTTCCACAGGCTGACAGAGCGGGCCCGGGGGGCCAGCAGGGCTGGCAGCAGGTTGGGATCGTTCCCCAGCGCCCCAGAGTCAACTGAGTCAGTCTCAGCCTGCAAGGTGAGGACGTTCTTGAGGGATGTGGCGGCTCGGGCTCCGCTGTTGGAGTTCCTCATGGAGAGGGAGATGGCGCTGGGCCGGGACTCCCCCGAGCGCCGGCAGCAGGGCAGGAATTTGCCCATGGCTCTCTTGAAGTCCCTCATGAAGAGCGGGTAGATGATGGGGTTCATGGTGCTGTTGCAGTATCCCAGCCAGGTGAGCACGTCGAAGAATCCGGCCGGGACACAGCCACAGATAGCCTGGGGGGGCACAGCAGGAATTAGCAGCATCTCCCACCTCAGCCCCGATCCAGAGCAGTTTCCCAGGCACACCAACATTCCCCTTTCAAAGGAAACCTTCAAATCCCTTTTGAAGGGTTTTTCCTTGCCGTAGCTCCTTGGGGAAGTTGCATCTTTGCTCTCAGAGGTGTTCCAGCAAGACCTTCAGATCGAACCCAGCTGGATCCCAAGTGAAAAGCTTTTGAAAACCCAACACAAAACCCCCACAGGTTCTTACCTGCGTCACATTGGTAATGAAGAAGGGGAGCCAGGCCACGAAGAACATGCCCAGGAGGATGCCCAGGGTCAGACTGGCCTTCAGTGCCTTCTTGCTGTGTTTGTTGGTGAACCTCCTGCTCTCGCTGCCAGCCATGGGCTGGCTGGGGACACAGGGAATCTGTAGCAGGAGAATGGTGATGAGCCTCCCCAGACTCGAGCTGCCAGCACCAGTGCCAACCTCTGCCCAAGAAAAGTGAGATTCGGTGCTCCAAATCCTGAAAAAACCCTGCCATTAATTCCTTTCTCCCAGGGACAGGAGTGGGGCATGCACTGCAGGCCCTGCACCACAAATTAGGAAGAGGAAATAACAGAAACCCTCAACAATGAGAGTATTACCTTCTTTTTTTTTACTGTAAAATAGGGGGTTCTCACTAGGCTGTTCTTTATAGAAAAACCAAGCTCAGTCTATGTTTTGGTGAAGACAAAGCCCTAAAGAGGCAGCTCCAGCTGCTGATTACAGCAACAAACTAACTATGTTTATAAAAGCAGGATGTGAAACATTGCAGCCTACAAAGGCCATAACTCAGCCCTCCATCCCCCCCCCCCACAATCTAAAATGAAATGATTATCTCAGCCCTCCACCGTAATTAAATGATGCTCCTTTGCCGCTCAGCTTCACGCCCAAAAAGAGAACAAAAATCTGGTTAAAAGATAAAATTTGAGGGTTCCCTGGCTGACACTTGTTTTCAGCCAATTTGGGGCTCCAAGGACCTTTTTGGGCCACTTGCCTTGGCTGAAAGACAGGTGTGGATGCTGGTTTTTTCCAGCATCACAACACGACAAAGCCCCTGAGCATCCCCTGATCTTGTGAGTGTGTTTGTGGAGTCCAAAACCCTGGCACTTTATGATATCACTTTATGATATTATCTGTTTTTTCTTTGATTGTCCTTTTCCTTTTGACTGTCTGGTGCATCTTATCACATATGGGAGAGCTGGCCAGAGTCCTGGCTCTGCTCTTAGAGTGAACAAACTAAACCAAGGTATTTAAAGGCAATTAAGTTTGCCTTTTCCCTGTAGGATATGTGGTCAATAAAGCCTATTACAGGGAATTAGAGCTGTTAGATTTAGTGGCAATTACCTTCTCTTGAAGAAATACAAACAAGTGCAGCCACATTTTGGTTATAAAACCCACGCACAAAACCAGCAATCGCACAAGGAGGGGTTTGGCAGTTCCCGTTAACCAGGTAACAAAAATAGAAGCTTCTGTTCAAAATAAGATGCTCTCCAGAATTTGGCATTTGCTATTAGTTGAAATCCTTCTCCCCCATATGTCTCACACCCACCACAGCCAACATTTATGAGTGGAAATTCAGATATAAGATTAAAACCCTCAGGGATGACGCCAGCCAAGAGGGGGGCAAAACTGTCTTTATTGCTGAGCATTTTTGCCTTAATCTTATAATTTGTCTCTTTATGCTCATGCTGTTTGTGTGCTCCAGAGCAGCTTCTAAGCTCTCCATTGGTGGGACAGACACAGGGCACCTCAGAGGGCGTCAGCAAGGTGGATGTTGCCCAAAATCTCCCTCAGTGTGGTCTGGTTGTCAAAGGCAGCTCTGGCTCTAAGGCTGTTCAGGAGGCAGAAACACCCTAGGCACCCAAATTGTGGGGTCTGCAAGAAACAAGGTCCCTGTGGGCACCTTACCTGTGCCATGGTGTCATCTGTAGTGCTGGTGGAGGCCACGTTGGAGGCAAGGGAAGCCACCTGCACTGCCTGCTTGCGGGCAGCCAGGAGAATGCGGCAGTAGGTGAAGGAGATGGCAGCAGAGGGGAGGAAGAAGGTGAGGCAGGAGGCCACCAGGGCATACGGCAAACTGACCACCAGCCGGCACTGGTCTTCGTCCCCCAGCGAGGTGACGTTCAGGGACAGCTCCTCAAACTCCAGCCTGTGCCACCCCATCTTGATGGGCAGGAAGGAGGCCAGTGCAGCCACAGTCCAGGTGGCCAGGATGAGCCAGAGGGCCCTGCAGGAGGTCATGCGCAGCTTGTACTTGAGGGGGGAGATGATGAGCAGGTACCGGTCCAGGCTGATGATGCAGAGGTTGAGGATAGAGGCGCTGCAGCACATGACGTCAAAGGAGGCCCAGAGGGAGCAGAAGTCCCCCCGCAGCACCCAGCGCCCGTAGAGCTGGTTGAGCATGGCTGGGGGCATCACCACCAACCCCACCATCAGATCCGACATGAACAGGGACACCAAGAAGTAGTTGGAGGTGTTGCGGAGGGAGCGCTGAGTGATGATGAGGAGGATGAGGAGGAAGTTCCCCACCGTGGTCAGCAGAATGATGAAGCACAGGAAAGCGGCCACCCAGCTGCTCCCCACGAGGAGGGAGTGCTCCCCCAGCACACTGGAATTGGGGGCCCCAAGGTCACCCTCCATGGGAGCTTTGGGGTTGGAGGAACCTTCTCTGGCGTGACCTGTGCTATGTGACCATCGCCGGAGCCAGGGGAAGAATGACCACCTCTCTGCTCTGTGTCTGTCCTCCTCCTTTCTCCTCTTCTCTCCTCCTCTTTCCTCCTCCTCCTCCTCCTCCTCCTCTCCCTCTTTTCCCCTATTCTCTCTCTTCACTGGCACTCAGGGCAGAGTGATGTTCCCAGGAGCCGATCAGCAGGAGCAAGGTTCCCTCCCCGTTACTCACAGCCAGGCAGTGCCTTGTCCCTGCGAATGCCCCTGCTCTGGGATGTCCCTGGATGCTGCCGCTGGATCCTGGGGATGTACTGGATGGCAGGATACTCGAGATGCCAGGGACGGCAGGATACTCGAGATTCTCTGATGCTCTCGATGCACTGGACCAGGGAATAATAAGCCCCCAGGATGCTCTGATACTCCAGATGCTCTGCACTCAGGAGACTTCAGATGCCGAGGATGATCTGTATCCCAGGATACTCCAGATGCCAGGGATGCTCTGTGCCCAGGACACCCTGGATGCTGGGGATGCTCTGGACTCCAGGACGCCCCAGATGCTGGGGATGCTCTAGCCCCCCAAGGCTCAGCTCTTACCCCCCCAGCTGGCCTTGGCTCCCTGCAGAGCTCGGGGCCGCCCCGAGGTCCTCCGTGCCCGGCGCTGCTGCTGCTGCTGCAGCCGGAGACGGCAAGGGGGGCAGAACCGCCTGAGGTGAGGACCGGGATGCTCCCAGCCCAGTTCGCCCGGGAGGAGGAAGATCCGGAGCGTGGGAAGGGTTGTCTCTCGCGGCAGAGGTGCGTCCAGCCTGCAGGGTGTGTGTGTGAGTGTGTGTGAGTGTGTGCAGGTGCCAGCCAGACCTTCCCCTGCTGCTCTGCAATGCACGGGAAAGGATGCAGAAATGCTGATTCCAAGGAGGTGGGGCTGAGGGGGGAGAGAAGGAGATGAAACGAAACGCTAATTAAAATTAAGGGATCTGGGCTAAACTCCACAAAGTGCCAGCCTGAGAGTTCTCTTTTTTGCCTTAAAGAAACAGCCCCGTGCTCTGCCTTCCCTGCCTTCCCTGCCATTCCTGCTATCCCTGTCATCTGTGCCAGCATTGGAGCCCCCGTGCTCACCTGGCAGCTGGGTCAGCAGGGCAGTGGCCAAGCCCAAGTGCCAGGCTCCATCCTCTGCCTGGTCAGCAGCTCCCAGTGCCAAGCTCTATCCTCCACACCACATGATAAAAAGCAAAATTTTGCAAAACCAAATAATGAAAAAAAAATCAACAAAACCTGCACATGAGCCCTCAGGGAGCAAGCAGAGGCATCACAACACTGGTTGACATTCCCCTGCAGCCAGGGATGGAGAGGCAGAGCCAAGGGGAAAGGCTGCACTGGTGGTGGGACAGCCAGAGGGCCAGCTGCTCTGCTTCAGGACTTTCTGGGCCGGCCTTGGGCAGCTCAGATCCTTGTCTGAGGGACAATCCTGCATGCACCCATGGCAGCTTGCCCTTGGAAAGTGGGAGGCAACACGGGAGAGGACCCAGCAGGCCCTGCTGGTGGCTCCAGGTCAGGAAACACCCAAGTCTCCAAGTGCCATTAGTGTCCTGTGCTGCCACCTCCACACACCAGAGCCAACACCTTGGGGTGCTGGGCAGGGATTGATTGGGGGTTTTTAATTAAGCAGCTGCCCAAAGACGGATTTTTTCCCAGAAAATGACAGTGATTTCTGTTGGGGCTTGACCAGAGCTGAGGGCACTGGCTCCAGCACAAACCAAAGCCATGTATGTGTCTCTGCTGGGCCCCTGGCACCCACCCCTGTGCTCACAGAGCCAGGCACTGCCAGCTGCTGCCCATTCCGTCCCCAAGCCACCACCAGAGCTTTCCTTAACATGCTTCCCTCGGGAAGCTGTGCTGCAGATGTGTGGGGAGTGCCAGCTGTGCATCACACACACACACCCACCCCATCCCACTGCTCCCTAGTGCTGCCTGTGCTGCCCTGTCACCCACTCAAGGACAGAAATCGATCTCTTTAGCAAGTCCTACTTTTACAATCACCTTTTCAACAACTTTCTCATGTTTTTCCCAGTGGCTGAACAAGCATTTCAGGCCTGGAAACCACCTCTGAGCAAAGAATGGGGGACAGAGCCCATACACGCCCTGTTACTCCCTGTGCCAAGGTGCTCTCTGAGGAACAGCTGCTGTCACTGGTACCAAGCTCTGCCCTCCTTCTGCTTGCCCAAGCCCCTCTCCTTGGATGCTCCCAGCCAAACCTTCCCAGCCACCTCTGCATCCCTGTGCCCTGGCAAGGATCCCAGGGCAGAGCAGCACACGCAACACTCTGATCGCAGCAGGAGATTTCTTTGGAAAAGCATTTGCACCAGGAAACCCTCACTTCCTCAGCCCATCTGCTGCTGGGAGAAGAGAGAAACCCCACCCTGAGCCCACCCTGCAGCAGCATCCCCAGGCAGGATAAGTGAAGGCAGCAGGACAGATTTATCCCAGCTGGATCCATGCTGGTGCTCAGCGAGGAAGTGATGCCAGAGGGCAAGTCCAGGCTTCCCTCTCGGTCCAGCTGCACTCCAACTTTAGGAGCATCTCAGTTTGCCTGCAGACCTTTTGCTTCTGAGAAAGGGATTGGATTGAAATCGTGGAATCAAAAAATGGTTTGGGTCGGAAGAGACTTCAAAACCCATCCCATTCCATGGGCAGGGACACCTTTTACTATACCAGGTTGTTCCAAGTCCCGTCCAACCTGGCCTTGGACACTCCCAGGGATGGGGCAGCCACAGCTTCCCTGGGCAACCTGTGCCCAACCTTTCAGGAGTGTGTCCTCCTCAGGTGGGAGATTTTCTACTCCTGGTTTAGATGTGTTTGCTGGGGAAGTGAATCTGAACTCATTGAAGCAAAATGTGTTTTAAAAAACCTGCCTTGAAATGAGGTCCAAATCCTACCATTATCCCTGCAAAAGCTTCTCCACACCAGCGGCTCTCCTGGCCTGTCTGTGCCCTCTCCCTGTGCTACACATCTGGACACATCTGCAGGAATTGTTGCTTCCACCAGCTCTGCTATCCAGTACCACTGGCATGGAAAGCAAAACGAGACACCCAAGTGTCAACATAGGACAAAACGAAGGACTGGTGAGACAGAGAGTCAAATAGGGACGCTGAGAGACTTCAGGCAGTGCAGGGCTTAAGGCAGCAGCCTCACTCCATCGTTTAGCTGGGATGGTCCCTAGGTTTGATTTTGGGCAGAGCCTGGCTAACTACCTTGAAAAGATTTGTGTTTTCATCTGCACAGCAGTCCTTCACTGCCTACCTTTGCTGAAGCTCAGCTTGTGTTGAAAGGAGATGGAGATATCCTGCTTCAAACACCTTGGACTGAAGCTCCTGGAGTTTACAGGAACAACCCCCTGCTGAATCCAGCCTGTTCCCACTCTACACCAGTAAAAGGCCACATGATGGTGCTCAGTGACCACCACTGGTGTTGCCACCTCTTCCTGACTCTCAGGGAAATCTCCTTTCCTTGGGAAGACACTTCACAGCACGAAAAAGTTATGCTAACACACAGGACACCTCCAGCCCTGCCAGGTCCTTTCTGTTCAGCCCATCACTGTAGCAATTGTTGCCTTAATGCAAACCCTCTCCCACTTCCCAAGGTTCAGAGAGCTGCTTTCCAAATGTGTGCAGAGCCTCCAGAGCCTCAACAAGGGGAGCAGTAAGAGCTGGACTAAAGGAGGGAGGAAATAAAAGCTGCACTCAAAGAGAGGCAATAAGAGCTGGCTGCTCCCTCCGGGAGCTGATGAGACCTTCCCCAAGGTCAGACTCAGACCAGGGAGCATCACTGATTGTTTCTGAGAGCACATCCACACTGGCCTGGCATCAGTGGGACCAGAGGTTTGCAAGGGTGCCCAGGGGATGCTTGATCCAAACCCCCTTGGAAAGAGCCTGCTGGGTTCAGCCAAGGCACCCAGCCCCTCCTCACCCACAGAGGGATGGCCAGCCCAGGTCCCAGTTCCCCTTCCTCCGCTCCCCAAGGGCTCCCCCAGGCCCTGAGCATCTGGATGAAATGCTGGATCGAGACTGTCACCTAGTGGCCACAGAGCTGGTGAAGGTCGTGTGATTCCAGAGCTCCCACGCACTTCCCACACAAGTGGGACCCTGTAAACCTCCGGTTGCAGTGACACTGCGCCTGGGCCACAGCTGCTCTCCGTGCCCACATGCACAACACATGATGAAGATCTGGGGTCAGTTCCCCTTTCAGCAGCTCTGCCTCCTCCTCCCAAATGGAATGCAGCAGAAAGCTGAAGGAGCCATGGCCCTGCCCTGCCCTGGCCCCTCCTGTCTGTCCTGGCTGGTGTCCTGGTGTCAGCACTGCCAAAAACCAGACAGGCATCAGAGCACTGAGCAATGGAAGTCAGAACTAATTTATTTAAGAAAAAAAAAAAAAAACAAAACCAAAACAAAACTCATCAAAAGGAGGGGGAGGCATCAATTACAAGCTCTGGAAGCTCTTGTCAGGACAGCGCCAAAGAATCAGCATTATACAACAGAGAGAGAGGGGCAGCAGGAGGGCACAGGGCCCACCCCGAGCCTCCCCAGCCCTGCCAGCACCCCCTGCACGGGGACATCCTGGCCCTCAGGCCCCCTTCTCCCTCCATCACCAATAAAGTGCAGCAGGGAGAGGGGGTGCAGGGCTGGCTCCTACCCAACCTCCCCCTGGCTCTTGGCTTTCCCCTGCAGCCACGAAATGTGAAGCCCCAGCACTCACGGCATGATCCAGGTCCCTCGTCCCCAAGGAGCCATGTGGTGGTCCTGGGGACAGCAAGGTAAGGGCTGTCACCACCACAGTACCCAGACACCTCCCACATGCAGCCCCAGAGGCACATCCTGGGGCAAAACACTCCCCAAGAGCTGCCTGATACAAAGTGTTAGGGTTAGATTAGTCCAGACCCAGCAGGTGCCAGGAGGAACAGCGTGTCCATGCTGAGCCCACGTAGCAGAGAGGGAGAGAGGAGGAAGAAGGGATGCTGCTGGTCTCACCCCCCCAGGAGAGATGTGCCTCTCCCATGGGACTGTGGAGAGGCTGCATCCCTTCTTCCTCCACCCTAGGCAGGAACCATTAGAAGACAAAACCCCAGAAGGGCTCCACACAGTTTTGGAACCTGCAGACAGCCCTGGGAGCCCTGCTCAGCTCCTGCTCTCAGCCCAAACCCCCAGCCACGCTCCTGCTCCTCTCAATATATTATTACTATGATGTGCAAGTAGTTTTGCATCAGAAAACACCGAGCCCTTATGTCCCACTCAGCAGCTCCAGCCCTGCCTGTGCCTCAAAATGTTCTTCCAGCGCCACGGTGTCTGGGAGCAAAGCGTGAGGGCAGCAATTAGACAGGAAAGACTCCACCCACCCCCCTCCCCAAACCCTCTCCCTCTCACACCCCCCTGCCAGGACAGTCTGCACAGGTCACTCCTCGCCCTCCTCCTCGTGGTGGTGGTGGCTGGAGGCAGGAGGTTCCTCCAGCTCCTGCTGGTGGTGGGTGTAGTGGTGGGGGCCAGGACCCTCGGCAGGGATGTTCTCCTCGGCGTTCAGGTAGACGTTGAACAGGGCTCCCTCGTGGCTCGGCTCCTTCCCACAAGCCTGGCAGCTGCAGTGCAGGATCTTCTCCACCAGCTTGTCCACCCTGGGGATCTCCTCATTTCCTGGACAGTCCAGTGTCACCTGGGCAGTGGGACAAGGACACAGTGAGTGTGGAGGCTCCCATCCTGCGAAGGGAGGACTGACCTGTGCCATGCCCTGCAGATTTGGGGTGTTTTAAGCCAGAAGTGATGGGTTTCTATCCATAGAAACAAACCTCCCTGTCAGTCTGCAAGGTGGGAGTTCTCTGGGAACATCTCACAAGGTCACAGGCTCCAGAGACTCAAGGAAAATCACAGAACCATAAAGGTTGGAAGAGACCTTCAAGATCACTGAGTCCCACCATTAACCCAACACTGCCATAATTACCCTAAATCACAGAATCACAGAGTTATTTAGGTTGGAAGAGAGCTCCAAGATCATCAAGTCCAACCTATGACTGATCTCCACCTTGTCAACTAGACCAGAGCACTGTCCTAGTTACAGGGGCTGGGACCAATTTATCATTGTGTATGTACAACAAAAACTGTGTATTTTACCACCCTCTGTCATTTCTGATAGACTGTTAATAAATGGATTGTTTGCAGCAGCTGCCCAGGGCCCACACGACACCTCAGGCTACAAGCTGGGTGTTAAAGAAACCCTGCAAGGCAGGGGAGTGTTCTTTTGTTTGCACATCAGTGACTCAGCTGTGATAACTCCCCTCTGGAAAGGCATCAGCACCTTCACACTCAGCCTGAGGGGTCATCTCTGCTAATGGACCACCCTGGACTGGCATAACAGGCAGCTGCAACACCTAGACCATCAAAAATTCCAAAAATATCTCATGACTCAGGGAGATAAATCACCCATTGTGAAACTCCCTGCCTTGGGGGAGGTACTGGGCATTCCCACCTGAACCTGAGCACATATAATCTTGGGGGTTTGGGACTTCTGGTACCACTCATTGGATCCAGAGGAGGGCCAGAACTTCAACAGGACTGCAACTGTCACTCTCAACAACACTGTGATCATCACTTCAACAGGACTGCAATCGTCATCTGGACCAACAGGTTTTCCTTTCCTTTTACTTTGCCCCCAGGGGACCACATGGTGCTCAGCACAGGGGTGGATGAACACCAAACACCGTTGCAGGATTATACATCTGTCTTTGTGGGTTGTTAAAACCAGTTTTCTCTGTATCACTGCATCTGTTGTAATTTTTTTTAGTAAATTGTAACTGACTTGTAATCTCTCGAGTAGGTTTCATTTCTTCTGCCGATTTACTTTTAAACAAGCACACACATCCAGTCATTTCTTGAACACTTCCAGAGACAGTGACTCCACAGCCTTCCCAAGGAACGTATTCCAATGTCTGACCACTCTCTCTAATTTTTTTCTAATATCTAATCTGAACCTCCCCTGTTGCAACTTAGGGCCATTTCCTCTCATCTTTTCACTTGAGATGTGGCAGAGAAGACCAATCCCCACCTCACTCCAACCTCCTTTCATCCCCAGCTCCAGCTAGACAATACTCCCAGACACCACTGGCACAGGAATATCAGTGTGATGGCAAAGGCCACCCACAAGACATGATGCTGATCAGCTCAGGTGGTTCACACTAAAGCCTCTGATCAAATGTGAGCTGAAAGCAAAGCAGAGAGCTGAGCCCAGCTCCCTGGGGGCTGAGCTTCCCTTGAGAGAGGGTTTATGGCTCTGCCAGGATCAGTGGTAACAGGGAACTGTGAGGTTTGAGGGTGACTGCTGTGGGAGACACTCCTGGACATCAAATAGGGCAAAAACCTCCAAGTGGAACGGGCAGAGGGAGCGGTGGAGAGAGCAGACATGTGGGATGAGCACAGGGATGAATAATGCAGGGAATGACAGGGGATGGCTCTGCAAACAGAGGGATGAAGGCACCATTTCAGCACAGCAGTCACATTGCTCCTTCCACTCAGGCATCTGGGGCACAGTCACCTGGCAGACACTCTGGAAGGAAACCGCGAGTGGGAAAACCTCAGGGAAGGAGAACAACTTGCTGTAAAGTGGTGGCAGAGCAGAGCTGAGCTCCCGAGCGAGGCCCCCTGGAGCAGGCAGGGATACTCACAATTTCCCACATGGACTGGGCTGGCATGCAGGAGTCGCAGTGAACCAGGGACTCTGTGGACTGGGGGAAGGTGTTGGGGACACTGTAGCTGAAACACTGTCCCAGACAGGCCCTGCAAAGACAACAGGAGGGATGGGGGCTCAAGGGAGGTGCCTGCTCTTCCCAGAAAAGGCAGAAGGAGATTTGACCTTCCACCGGGGCAGCTGGAGGCAGAAGTGCGTGAGTGACAGTCCCCAAAGCCACTCCCATGCCATCAGCTGCCTCCAGCCCTGTGCTGAGGTGGATCTGTACCTGTTCTGGATGGATTTGGACTCACAGCCGCTGTGCCCCACGATCTGGGTGATATTCTTGGCCTCACACCAAGCGCTCTTGTCCGGGAAGAGGGCGAGCTTGTTGATGGGCGGGGGAGCAGCCAGGAGCGCTGGGAAGAGGGCACCCACCACGAACCATAACATCATGGCCAGCTCTGCCAAAATCCTACACCTGCACGTGGAGAGCAAAGCATTAGCAGGAAACAAAACAGGTGAACCAGCTGAGTTCTCCAACTCCATGGAAGTTCTGGGTTGAGACAAGCACAGGTACGTCCTCCCATCCTGCTGTGGCCAGGATGGCTCCCCAAAACACTGCCTGGGGAGTGGGACGTGCTGCTCTGCCTCTCCCCTCTCAAAACAGCTCTGGGGCAGGCAGATACGAGCGTTACCTCTCCCAGTCTCTGTGCCAGGAGTAACAGCAGCTTTTCCTCATTTCCCACCCACAGCTGGGCTGGGAGAAGTTTGCAAACGAAAACATCACTGCCACCGGTTGAGGCAGGCTGGAGAAGCCCTGGACCACGGAAATGTCATTATCTGAGGAAGGAACAAGCTTCCCCACTTCCTCTTCTCCCACCTTAGAAGCCAAAGCTGGCCTTGCTGTAAGGAAGGAAAACCTCTATCATCCTGGATTGTGCAGCAGGTGTCGCTGCAAGGCAGCAGCACATGACACGCGGAAACCTCAATCCAGGGGCTGGAAACTCGCAGGAAAGACCAACATAACATTTATTTTTATAGAACCACTCAAAGAGTTATTCCAAAGATGGGAATTTGGGCTGCGGACAAGGGGGGCCTTTGAATAACAAGCACAAACCTCACTCGCAAAGGCGGTTGGCTTGGAGGTCACTTCCCACTCCCAGAGAATTCCCACCCAGGGTTTCCTTGCTCTGCTCTCTGGCCAAGGCGCCTGAATCAACACTCCCAATCACTGGGGAAAGGCAGATGGAAAAGCATCATAGAAACAGGAAAATTTTTTCCTGTGTGGGGTTTCACTAGTCATGGTCAAAGGCAGACATTTATACTTCCTAAAATATTTGTTAGAACCATGTTATTTGTTATTTCCTTCTATTTATTTATCCAGACAACGATCCAAAGCCCACACTGGAAAGATTCCTGTTGATTCCCATGGCTCCTGGGTCCAGCCCTCTAATGTTTGCTGCAAAGGAGAGGAAAAATGCCTTCTTCCTCAGACTCTGGTGTCAGAGGCAGCTGGGGACTCCCAACTGGGTGTTTTCAGGTCACTTGGTCTGTCTCCATAGTCCTCTCCCACATCCCCTGGGCTGGAGGACCACCAGGATAATCCACATGACTGAGACACCTTCCTTGGCACCACCCACAGCTCCAGCTCAGGGATTTTAATGTCATTATGGGGTTTTACCCTATTATCCCTCCACTGAGCCAAACTTCCTGGACCTGAATCAGAGAGAGACGAGATTCTTCCCTGTCGTCCATCCCATGGCACCCAGAAAAGAGCATCCTCACTCACTGGATCTCTGGAGGAATCAGGTGGCATCTCTGATAGTTTTCCTTATTTCCTGGTGATACAAAACCCACACTTGTGTAATGCAGCAACACTTGTACAGCCCTGGCTTCCTAATCCCCCAGCACTTATGGGATGGGAATCCCACAGTCTCCGATGGGAATACCTGCTCCAAGGGGAGTTTGCAGGTATTGGCTGGACATAAGCAGAGGGATTTAACCCCTGAGCTTGCCCTGCCATTAATGAGAGCCATGGGGTTAAATACATTTGTCCTGAAGACGACTCTTAGGACTTCTGCGTCCTGAATTCTTTTCCATTTCACTGGGGGAATTCTGTGATTTCTGTAAGAAGAACCAGGCTCAGCTGCACACACACAAAACACATGGTCAGCTTGGTTTTCTGAAACAGCATGGTTCATTCCTCAAATGCCAGCAGCTCTGTGCTAAGGAATCCCACTCCCAAAGGCGAGTCCGAGATCAGAGCTGGGATGTGACCCAAACAGCAAACACCTCCATCCCGAGGAACAGCCGAAATTCCTCTGGAGTCAGTGCACAAGTTCACTTCCGCATGCCCCATGAGAGAGCAATTTCCTTATTTCCAAAGAAAGGTGGTGGCTGGTTTTTGTCCAGGTTTCTGGTGCATCTCTACGCAGCTGCAAAGAGACAAACATTCCTGTCTGTGCTGGGTCCTGCTTCCCTGAGAGCTTTTATTATTCCTGGAGGGAGGAGTCCAATTGCCAGAGGCACAAAGGATCCTCTTGGAGCATCTGGGCTCCTGTGAGGAAGATGAGTGAGGCTGTGCTCTGCTAAAGCACAGGACCTGGCCTGGATTCAGGAAAGCACTTAAACATATGCTTAAGCCTTCTCCTTTCCCTTTTCCTGGGATCTGTTTGTAACCAGGGCTCCAGCGGCAACGGCCACTGCTCCGGTTTGCAGGGGGTAGTGGGAGAGTGGGGTAACTGAGAACCCCCATAGCAGGGGAACTGGGTATCCCTATGGAGCTGGAGCAATTCCAACTCTCCCTCGTTCCTCAGGGCACTCTGGTGCCAGGCAGTGCTACCCTCCAGTGACCTGAAGCCTTGACCACGCCACATCCACAACGCACGGTGTTCTCCTGCTCACAAGAATGCCCTGGAACCCGCAGGGCCACATTTCTAGTACGGAACGAAGTTTATGCCAGTGCCCAGGAAAACATCTGATGCAGCTGAGTTTGGGAGGGAGCTGGGGCTGGAAGCAGCCCTGGCGCGTCCGCTGGAATAGCTCAGAGCAGTCATGCGAACAGCGCGGCCACGAGAACCATTCATCTGACACAGCCACAGCCTGAGACAAAAGCGCCATGTTCCTTTTCCCCCCACCGGGAAGGGAAGGCAAAAAGGAAGACGGGGCACCCAAGCAGGTTTGCAGACTCCCGATTAAATAAAGGCACTGAGCACATTCCTCCACGACAAGCTAAATTACACGCTGCAGCCCCAAAAGGAACAAGTGCGTTCCCCGACTGACCCGCAGAGCAGCCGCTTCCCCCCACACAGGGCCTTCTTTTTCTTTCCCACACCAGGGCAGACTTTTCCCTGTTAGTCAAAGCTCTTCAAGCAGAAAGTTCAGCTCAGTTCCGGCAGAGCCACTGGCCCATGAGGGGCTCCCCCCGCTCCCTCTGCAGGAGCTTCCTCCTCATCCCTTCGGCTGAGTTTGGGAAATGAAATGACTCAGCCCTGAGCCTGGCACATCCCAGGCTCCCAGACAAACAACTTCTCAGCGCAGGCACAGCTGCAGTCCTGTGGTGAGTGGCTCCAGAGCCCTTTTCCAGGGCTGAGGGACAAAGGTCCAAGGGGCTGAGAGCCAAAGAGTCAATGGCTGGTGGGTCTCGGGGAACCACCTCAAAATCACTACAAGGCCCAGGAGTTCTGCCAAAAGCTCAGTGTCCCCTGATCCCAGTTTGGAGATCTGCTGGTACCGCCTCAGACGTTCTGTGCCAGCCAGAAGAGCTCCTTCCTCCCGTTCCAACAGTCCCAGGACTCTCAGGAGTCCCTCAAGCAGTGCCTGGAAGCAGCTGGGAAAATCTACATCGTTACACTGGCCAGAGGACAATCACTGGAATTACCTCAGAGGCCACATTCCCACCATCCAGCCCACAGCTGTTCCCAGCCATTTGGAAACCAAACACTTCTGGAGGAAAATAAAACAGATCTAATCAGTTTTACCCTCTTTTTCCAGTGTGAAGTTTACACCATAGCACAAGACAAGCTTGCAGGTGGACATGGGGAATGTTTCATGAGTAGTTTAATGTGTTAATAGGTATTTTTCTTATCCAGGATCTTGCAATTCTGCCAAATACATAAAACCACATACACAGGTAGATTGTGCTCATGGCCACACATACAGCATCCTGGTTCTGAGAAACAAGAACCCCCCTAAGCTTTACAAACATTGCTCAGCCAAGGCTCACAGCCTGTGGATACAGCACAGAAACAGTGTCAGCTCCAAGCTGGAGCTCAGGAAAATGGGACACGAGGACAGGAAATGGCCTCACCTCAGTGCCTGACTCAGTGATCCAAGACCCTGTGTGAGACACACGAGATCTCAGCAGGGATGGACGAGGTGAAGGTTTCAGCTCCTGGTCTAGATTAGAGCTGAGACCTCCACTGCCCTCTCCTGCCTCCCTTGGCACACAGCTGCCCTTCCTGACAGAGCCAGCTTCCCACCCAGCTGGGCTATCTCTGCACCACACCAAGAGCAACCCAGGTTGGTGTTAGACAGGAATCACAGCAGTCCTGGATCCTGCCTTTGTGTTCCACTAGATATTTGTGCCATTTTGCTGAGAAAAGCTGCTGCACAGCCTTGCTGGAGAAGAGGAGGCCCCAGAGACACTCTGTGCCTCAGTTTCCCTCATTGCAAGAGCAGAGACGGGAGCACCGAGTGAAGTGACGGGTGCAGGGAGAGTGAAAAGCACAGGGAGGTCTTTGGAGTGCCAGATTTCCTTCGAGGGAAGCAGGGGGGGAGGGCTGCCAGCAGCCCTTGCCCCACACGATGCCAGGAACATTCCTGGATGGGAAGGCGCTCAGGCAAAGGCTCAGGGCAGGTGGGAATCAGGTTGGAACATCGTGTGGGGGAGTCACGCAAGGACAATGCACTGCTGGGAGAGGGGGGGCAGTGCCCGGAGAGGAGGCAACTCTCCAAGAACATGGGTGGGATCCCTCCTGTGTGTGGAGGCAACCAGGAGAGATCTTGATAGCCACTAAAACACTAAAAGGCAAATGGTTATTTAGGCACCTAAAAGGAAGCAAAACCACAGTGTCTGCTTTGGTGGCAACTGGAACTGGAACAAAACATCCCAGAAAGATCCAGGGCATGGCTCTCCTCAGAAAGGAGTAGGTCTGTAACTTCTGAATACCACCAGGGATTGCCTCTTAGGAAACTCAACTCAAATAAATTGCTTACATGGAAAAAAAAATTATTATAAGCCAGCATTATTAGCAGGAAAAGCTTAAATGTCAACTGCAAAAAACCGAAAAGTCACTGTGTACTGAAACAATCTATCAAAACAACAGATGTTATTCAGTACTTGTCCTTATTTAATACTTCCTCCTTTTTTGAAATTTGCATTTATCTAAAACTTGACATTTTTGGGGACTCTACTGTAGTGAATGCAACAGTCAAAAAAAAATCTAATCTATGCCATGACAACATGGGCAAGGGAGAGGGAAGAGAACTCTTCACTGAGAATGTCTGTAGGTAATTCTTCAGGACAGCAAGACACAAGAGAGCTCAGCTGAACACAGAAGTGCAGAAAACGAAGCTCAGAGCTTCAGTCTTGCTTCGCTGAGCTGCAAAATCTGTGAAGAAATTACAAAAAAATAAACAAGGAACTAGCACAGAAGACATTTGATATTTAACAACCACAAGAATCCATCCTAAGAACTTTTTGATAGTGGAGCAAAAGCTGTCGTTTCTCACCATGGACCTGGTTGTCTCTGCTCCTTTCAGGAGCAGCTGTCAGAGCTTCCCTTTCTGTAACATATTAATTTCCACTCAAGCACAGTTAGACGAGTCACAGAAATAAAACAGAAATAGAGAAAAGCAGTGCAGCATTTTTAAAGCACTCTGCCCTCCCCACTTTGGCCAGAAAGTCAAAAGATTTTGGTACACTGGGAGTTTCAATCTAGCTTCTTGACCATGCACTGAGCACTTTGGAAATACATTTTTTGCAGCTGGAAAAAAAAAAAAATCCCAGCTGCTTTATCTACAAAAGTCACTGGAAATCTACCTCTGGACTTACATAGGCTTAGAATGGGGTCCTGCAGGAGCTCTGCTGGAAAAGGGACACACTAATGGCCTATGGAAGAGGCAAGAGTCATGTAAAAAGTTTGTGGTAATTTATTTCAATTGCTCAATTTCTTCAGCATTAAGAACAATCACGGCTAGGAAAATGCATCAACCTGAAGCACAAGAACATCTCCTGGCCCCACACTGCCCTCCACTCCATCTCCAAGCACGTGAGGCTCTGCAGCCCCTAAAAGCAGCGGGACAAGCGGGATGGGAGCAGGGATCAGCTGTGACTTGGGAAAAAGGCCGGGGGCCAGCCCTGGGGAAAGGGAGAGGGTCCAGGCCCTGCCTGAGCCCTGCGCAGGGAAGAGCCCGCCTGGCACACGCTGTGGCCAGAACATTCCCAGCGGGGTCGGATCCGGGTGCATCTCTGCTGACATGAGAACCAGGCCCCTCCAAAGCCAGCTGGAGCAGCGCTGCAGCCGCAGGCTACGCTCGCATGTCTGGACCTGAGCGAGGCTCAGCTCCCTCCTGAGCTTTCCCTGGAGCTGGTGTTTCCCACACAGCCATCCCACACACCCGCTGGCACAGAGCAGGGACAGTCAGCCTGGAGCTGGGGGCACCCACTGCAGGAGGACAACTGGTGTCCAAATTCAGACTGTGGATCCACCCCCTTTGAAAATCCCCTGGATAACAGTGACTGCTGCTCTCTCCAATGCTGTCCCCGAGTCCTGTGAGCAGCAACTTCCTACTTCAGCATGGAAAGGGAATATCTTTTCCTCTACCACCACAGCACCACCATCAGCAGCCTGGCCACTATCCCTTACCTCCCCAAAGCACCTGGCTTGCCCCAGAGCATGGTCACACTGTTTTCCAGAGCTACAGCCTCTCCCCTCCTTGTTTGGACACAGCTTTCATGGAACCAGCAATAAAACCCGCAGGATCCCGGGAGTTGCTCACTTTAATCCATGTTTGATTTGCAGGCACCAGCGGTTTCCCTGGGGAGAGCTTCTCCCAGCAGGCCCAGTTCTGCTTTCACTTAGAGTGAGGTAAACTGGGACCGGCTCCTCCGAATGACTCTACTGGTGCAAATGAGATCAGAATCTGGCACCACTCGTCTTACTCAAAACAAGCCTAACTGGAACCAGATAAAACCAGTTCCAGTACATAGTGGCCACCAGGATGATGATTTTTTAATTCCTGCAGGCAGAGGGGAGCTGTCTCGGATGCCAACCACACTGGCTTGCGCCTTGCTCGGTCATTCATTACCAAACTTGCATAAAAACCCAGCGCAGCAGGGCTGCGCCTGAAGGATCAGGTTCCCAGCTGCTGGAGCAAGAAGGGGAAAGAGGGAAGGAGAAAGGGGCTTGCTTGTGGATGGTGCTGTGGATCTTTCAGGATCCTCCCTGTTGTTTCCTTCATCCTTTAACAGCCATTTTTAGGCCATATCTTGGTCAAAACAGCAGAAATCCAGTGACCTGAGTGCTGTTTTGCCCTCTTTTACTCTCTGCTTTACACTACACCAGCCTCCTCAGTTTTGATGATATAAACCCAAAGTCTGCTTTTTACCCACAGCACTGACCAAAATATCTAAGGCATACAAACACATGGAAGTGCAGGGCCAGAGACATTCAGAGGTGACATAACAGCTCACAGCTCAGGTGGTATTTTCAGTTGCCACCAGGGCTGACCCAACAATTGACATTTAGACAGTTTCTCCTGAAACTGCAGGATTGGGCCCAGTAACCACAAGGAAGTCAAACCGTGGCCCAAACACTGCTATTTTCGCCCCTCTGGACAAGTTGCCCGAGCTCTGTGTTGGAGAAGAAGATTTAAACAACATCTGAGAGCGACCCAAGCAAGGGCTCGATCCTGACACCAGTTCCAGAGCTCAGCTCCAAAGGACTGGGATCTTGGCTGGAATGGGGCTATTGGCCCAGCCCAGCTCCATAACTGATGGGAATGGGTGCTGGGTTGCTCCATTCCCATCACCAGTGCTAACTTACGCCCAGGAAAGCCCTGGCACCCAGTGCCCCACATCCCTCCCTTCCTAAACAGCGCTGCACAAGAGACAAAGGTCTGGGGAACAGCAAGCTTCCAGGGCTAATGGGAGGTGTGGAGGACAGACCACCCCTCATTCCCACTCTGAAACTCCCCCAGAAGGACAGTTTTATCAGCTGTTTGGGTTTTTAAGAGTCTGATGTGAGCGAGTGTGAAGTTTCTTTGCCCTCAGCCCTGCTGGACCCCCCTGGCACTCTGCTCCTTGCATTTTCACAAGGGATCTCCCAGCTTGGGTGACACCAGGTGAGGGTTTTTTCCAGCAGACTGCAAAACAGAAAGAGCAGGAGCAAGGCCCAAGGACAGAGCAAGAACCTGGCTCAGCCCACTCTGCAGCCACGGTACAGGAGCTGGCAGAGGCAATGCCAATGCTCTAAAGGGAACAGCGTGGAGTTTGGGCAGGAATGACTGCCCGGGAGTTTCTTCTGCTCCTCGGGCAGGTTTCCCTTGATTTACCAGCCTGATCTGCCCTTGGCAATGCCAACACACACCATGGGCAAAGTTACTCCACCACGGGCAGGTCTTCAAGACTGCTCGAAAAGTATTTTGGCTCAGGGCCCAATCCTGCACCTTCAGAGCACCCAAAAATTCCCTCCAGCTTGACTGTTTTCTTCACTCCAGAAAGACGACCAGGCACTCAAGAAGATTGTGCTCATTTGCCCTTTTTGCGAGACCACAAACTCCCCAAGCTGGAATTCGGTGTGGAGAGGTCACGCCAAGAGCCTGGATTCTTCTCAGGGCTGTTTGCAAACACTTGGGATTTTTATACTGAAGGCAAATTCCATTTCCCATCCTGCGGTTTGCAAATTTGAGGCAAGTTGCCTTTTACGAGATGGGAGACTGCCTTCAAAAAAGCAAAAGTGCCCGTTCTGTGCAGCTGGTTTTTGGCTGGTTGGACATTGCAAAGAGGACATGGAGTTCTTCGGCTAAAAATACAAGGGAAAATCTGGGTCTCTCCATACCTCCAGGATCTTTCCCACTTGTTTCAGTAGGGTGCATATTTTTCAAAAAAAACCCCTGCATGGCAAAGCTGTGGTGTCCTGACTCCACAAACACTTCACACAGGCTGAATTTTGAATTTGATGGAGTTAATCCTGTATGTAAAACCTAGATTGTGAAGCAGAGCAGAAATTTCTGGTGTCCTCATAAGAGCAATATTAGTAGGGAATAAGGGATTGTCCAGATCAACTTTAATGCAGCCTGAAAGCGAGATAAAGCATGTTCTGTTCACAAAAAAGAACGTTTCTCCCACAAGAAAAAAAAGGTCTTCACTGAGCACAAAACACAGATATTACTGTACAGAACAAAATAGAATTACTGCAAATACTTGAACAAACTGAAATACATTAGGGCTCAAGAAATAGGTAAGGACATATTGTATATGCCTTTGGATATTCCAGTAAATGCCTAAACTATTTGTAGGATACAAGGATGTAAATTCATCCCCGGGATGAACTTTTCAAGGAACAAAAGTTTACTGCCTTGCCATCGGGAAACGTTCTTTCCTTTACTATCGCTGAAGTACCCCACGTCCGCTGGTGGTGTGGGTTAATCGATCCTGAGCGTTCCCGTTCTTCCCTGTGCACTTTTGTTCGAAACCCCAAAGCGATGGGAAGGAGGGAAGGACTCTCTACCACAGATGTGCGCCCGACACAGCTCCCGGCTCCCCCGCTCGCAGCCTTATATTTAATTGGAGCTAAAGCGGCGGTGGAAATAGTTTAACTATTGTAGAGCAGATCCCCCCCAAGTCCGCCTCATCTGCAACCGATTTCTGCCCGCACTTACATCTTCATCCTCCCGGCCATCAATCACCGGCAGGGTGGGGGAAAAAGAGAAGGGAGAGGAAAAGAGGCGAATAATCTGGTGCGGGGGGCGGAAAAGCAGCAGGTTCGGGACGGGGGTGGAGGGGACACAAAGCCAAGGGCTACTCACCACCCAGGCGACGGCGGGGACATCCCATGGGGTCCGGGGCCCGGCGGTGCCCAGCGGCTGCCGCATCCCCGGCGCGGCGGGGCGGCCACGGAGAGAGGCGCGGGGAGGGCGGGAGCTGCCGCCTCCTCCCTCCCTCCCTCCCTTCCCTCCCTTCCCTCCCTTCCCCCGGTGCCGGGCTCCGGGCGGTGCCGCCGGCCCCGCCGCTCGCGATTGCACAATCGGGTGGGAAGGGAGAGGAGGGGAAAGGAGGGAGGGACGGCGGAAGGAGGGACAGAGGGAGCGGCAGTGGCAGCGCCCGCCCTGCCGGGGACCCGCCGGTGACCGGGCACGGAGACCCCCGAGCAGCCCCCGCGGCCGCCCGGCTGAGAGCTGAGAGCTGAGAGCCGGAGCCCTAAGGCGGAGCTGGCACACCGCCCTGGGCCGTGAAACCCCCGGCAAGGGCTGAAAACTAACGGGGAGAGCACGGTGGCGACGCCCGGCCACAAAAACGAGGGGTCTTCGGAGAGATGTGCCCGAAGGGAATGTCCCAGCACTTACTCCTGAAGTGACATAAACAGTCTGGATTGGGCTCGCCGAACGCTAACAATTGTAATTTAAGCATAATTCTTGATAGAGAGTGCTTGGGGCAGAGTCCTGAAGAGTTTGGGAAAGTTCTCCAGCACCAGAGACATAGGTTTTCTCTTTTGCTTTTCCTTTCTTTTCCCTTCCTCTTTCTCCTCTTTTTCTCTCCTTCCTTTCTCTTTCTTCTTCTTTCCCTCTTTCCTCTTCCCGTTAAAAAACTAACAGCGAGACCCCATGCCAGTGAACCCCCATCCATGGCCACCTTTCCGGTGGGATAATTGCTGGGGACCAAAGGGCTCTCTTTGTGTACCGACACAGTTAATCTAACAGAGGCCCCCACATTAAACACTACCCAAATCAAAAGATACCTGCCAGGCTTGGCTGGGCTTTGCTGGCTCCTGTTGGTGTGAGGATTTGCATAGAGATCAGAGAAGCAGGAAGGGGAGGTGGGTAAGAAGAACCAGCTGTGTTGAGAGAAGCATTGGCAATGCCCTGGCAGTGGCCCCTGGGGAGAGGTTTTGGGGCTGGGTGTTCGCCGAAGGAGGCTGGAGGCTGCCAGTGAAGCAATGATTTCCTGCTGCTTGGTTCCTTCCAGCTCCAGGATAATAGGATTTGTAAATGAAATGGCAAAAAGCTGCTCCCAGCATCAGTTTCTTATCCTGCGAGATGCAACATACTCATCCCCCAAAATGTATGTACTGCTCAGCTCCAAAAGAGTCAACAGCAGAGGAGCAGCCTCTAGCCATGACCACATATCCCATCAGGAGCCCAAAATCTGTTTTCCCAGCATTTTCACCCAGTGCTGAACCCAGTCCTTTGACTAATCTCTCATGGCCAGCATGACCAGCAGTGAGCTCCTGCTCAGAAGGCTGCTTTGTTCTGAGTAATATGAGTGAAATAAGAGACATCAGAGACTTTGAAGCAAGTTCTCAGGAGGAAAAATAAGAGGTAGATGCGACCACCTGCAAAGCAATAGACCATGGGCATGTGAAGCTCAGCCAAGTGTATCGGGCCCATGGTTCAGTATTTGCATGGTTTTTGTGGGATTCTCAGCACTGGGGTGTGATTGCTCTGCAAGGAGCCAGCTGAGTTCATTCACTGCTTCCTACTGTTCATTCCTGTTCCAGTTCTGTAAACAGCATAAAAGGGAATCAGCAATCTGTGAACTTGGGGGGCGGGGAGGCAGGAGGAGCAGGGTTCAGGTTTTCTGGTGTCAGAAGGTGCAGGCAGAGGTGCTGTAGGACAGAACGGGTTGGTTGGAGGATGAAAGGAGCTGCTGAGAGGCCTTCAAAGCCCTGGGCCAGCACTTTACCCCTTCCTCCCTGGCAACGTGATATCACAGATGACCTGATGCCTGCAGAAGTCATTTGGACAGACACAGGCTAAAGGCAGCCACTCTGCAGCTGGGAGAGGATGGAAGGGAGAGCAGGGAGGCAACACCAGCAGGAAGGGAGCTGACCTCAGCAGTCACTGCCAGGGGCAGTGGCTTCAGCAGCGTTTTTAGGCTCTTGCTCCACACATGACCCCCTTGTTTTCCAGCTTCCACTCCCCACAGGCTCAGGGGAGCTTCCTGCCTGCCTGCCTGCCCCTAAAACACCTGTGCCCAATCACACCGATGTTTTCACGCCACATGGTACAACACAACTCCTCACTCTCACCCTCAATGACAGCCCATTTCATCAACTGTTGTTTTCCACCACTGGGTACACACAGCCTTGCCCTAAACCTCCACACACCCACCCATGTCTTCCCTCTCAGCCCTTTCCCTTGCTGCTGGATCACCAAGGCTTCGTGCACTGAGACAGAGCAAAAACTCACTCTCCTGTCTCCAGGACATCCCTCCCTCACCCACTATTGCTGTTTTGGGCCTGCTGACAAACACCCACAGTGCCAGGGGCTCCGCACTTGTCAGGACAGGACCTAGAACTGTGGGTGTGAGAAGTAAAAGGGTGTACTTGTAAGTTAAAAATAAAACTAATTCTTTTATTTGTGTCAATGCAGATTGCAAGGCTCCCTGCCCATAGCTGGATGCTAAAAAATACACAGGGGGAAGGGCGGGTGCAAAAAGAGTGAGGGAGAGTGTGCATGTCCACAAAGGGAACAAAGAGGAGGGAATGGCCCCTCACGTATCCCACAACTGGGCCTGTGTTCATTACCCTGAGACCAATCACATAGGGTCCAAGGAAGTGCTCTCAGGGAATAAACCCAGATATCTGGGTCTGCCATGGCCCACCCTGCCCATCTCAGATCAATTCCCTTCACCTCTTCACATCTCATCTGCCAACAGGTACAAAATTGCCTTGCAGCTCCATGAAACAAAGATGACTCTGTGTCAGCTTCCTTCTGAAGGAATTTGGCTCAAGACTGACCACAGCCACATTGGGTGGGACCCTGAACAACCTGATCCAGTGAGCGGCATCCCTGCCCATGGCAGGGGCTGGAACGAGATGGCCTTTAAGGTCCCTTCCAAACCAGTCTGTGATTCCAGTCTATGATTCTCTCACCTGCTGGAGTTGAACTCCTACTTTTTGGTTCCTAAATAACCCTGAGACATCTACAAGATATCAGGACCTAAAACTGCTGTGTGTAAGGGCACACATGCCCCAGGTGAAGGAAGCAACACTCATGCCAGGAGACAGAGGCAAAGATTTTACTACTAAAAAAGCTGGGGAGTGATTTCCCATCTCCATCCCAGGCAGATGAAGGGAGGGGACAGTGGTGGCATGTAGGGTGTGAGGAGCACATCCTGCATGCAACTCTCACATCTGTGCAGCTCCAGAACCCCTGGACAAGGGTGAATCAGTCCTTACAGACACCATTATTGCTTTTTGAAGATTGATCCAGCACATGGGTACAACAGCCCTTCACTGCTCCTTCAGACCACTGGGTCAATCCACCCTGAGCACACCTCTGGCATCATAACACACAGGGAGGGAAGGAGAGGTGAGAGAAGAAGGTTCAGCCACAGGAGGACTTTAGACCAGCAACCTCCATTAGGCTTTTGGATACCAGATTTGAGCTCTGTGCTGAATGCCTTTGCACAGGCAAAGGGATAAAGGCATGAGTCCCAGTGGGAATTTGGCTAGTTGACTTAGACTGCAAAGTCCAGCTTGCCTGGTCTAGGGACAGACCTGGCTGGCAGGGACTGTGCTCGGTAGTAAAGGAAAAGGATTTATCATAGAGCTCATTAGAAAACATCTGGGCTCAGCAAATGACCTGGAATGCGACTCGGCAGCAGGGCGCTCCTCTTTTCCCGAGTGCCGGGAATGCAGCTCCCGCAGGGTACGACTGGAGCCAGCTGTTTCCTCTAATCCCATCAGCCTTCCTTTCCACAGGGGGTCGAAGGAGAAAGTCCCGTTCCCTCCCCTTGGTGACTGGGATTAGTGGTTTCTCTGTAGTTCCGTGCCAATGCATTTTAGGGCCCTGGGGCAGCAGTAAAAACACACCCCTCCCATCCCTGAGCAAGTCCAAGTGTGTTTAATCGTTTGATTTTCCACCTTGCCCAGTCATCCCCTGCTCCCAGGCACTCCCAGGCCCTTCCATCCCTCGCTTCCCCAGCAACTCAGGTCATGCACAATCCTTCTATTCAGTTCATGTCTGCAGGGGCAGTTTCGAGCAGGGAGGGCTGGGAAGAAGCTGCTGGGCTCCACTTGCAGGTGCCCTCTTCCCTCTGAGTTCAAACAGCTTTTTTTCCTTTCCACTTCAAAAATAACCAGTTTCCTCCGACTCCATTACAACCAGCTAAATCCCTTCTGATAACCATCTTATTTTCTGCTGCACAACTTCCCCCTGCTGCAATCACTCCTATTAATTATTTTTCTTGCAGCACTGCCTGAAGGCCCCAGCCAAGCTCAGGCCTAGTCACAATAGGTGCTTGTGTGTGTTTAAAGACAGTTCTGGCACTGAAGCTCCGACAAACTGACAACCAGCAGGACAAACTTAGAACATCCACATGTGTGCAGGGAACATTTTGCACATCACTGAAAGGAAAGCAGCACCGCCTGCACTGGGGTGACTCACGGAGCAATGTAGCACTGCTCTTGCATGGAAAGAGCCTCGAGCACAAACCCTCTGGCCTTGAAGAAAAGCACCCAATATCAAAAGTCTGAAAGGGCCAGTTTTTGAAGGTCCTGCTATAGCACAAGTCAGCATTTCCTAAAATTAGGATAACAAAGAATATATGTATATATAGATGTATTTTTTATCAGATTAAACTTCTCTGCGCTCAGTACCTGCACCTTCCAGAAGACAAATGCAAATATAATTCTGAGAGTGATAACATGATTTTTATAGTTTAGAGGGTGTGGTTCATAAAATCAGAAATGTGGGGCCCTGAGAAATCTGCTTTCATTGCCTTTCTTCCTCCTGCCTCGGAGCAGGACTGTGATTTTTGAGACTACTGTTGCAACTGATGAGGAATGGAACGAACCTGGCCAGGAGTTCTCAGCTTCTCAGTGCTTTCCTGAACATGCTGAGACATCTGTGTTAGACCAGCTTTTCATCGCTGAGGTTTTACTTTTGGTAGCAGGGGCTGCAGTGGCTGCTCCAATGTAGGACAAGAGTTAAATGTGAAATACTTGTGTGCTCCTCCGGTGCTGCTCGATGCTCAGAGGAGTCACAGTGATCTTCCCTCCATCTGGCA